AGCTCCCTAGAATCTCCTTCTTCCTTTTCCTTCCCATCTCAGTCCAAAAGGCCCTCCGAGATTTCTTGGCATTTTATGATTTACTGTATTGGCATGCAGGTTCAAACAACACTGTTGCGTGCCGCCATGTACTGCCTCTCCTCGTGTTGCAGAATTTCATTTATCATTCGTAATCCAAGGCCAAGAGTCTCTTCTGTTTCCTTTCCAATTTCCCCCCAAATGTCTAGCAGTTAGCCAATCGGGTGCAACACCTGGACATGCAATTAGGTATCCCTTTATATGCAAACATGTGTATTTATGTGATTATGCATGATAAGGGTGAGTGTTCGCTGCAGGGCCCTCGAAGGTTCTCATAATACGAGGCCTCGTCCCTTCCGCGCGCACCAACTTCCAGTTTTCAATGAACACTATAAAATGACTGGGAAGAATAATTTCAAGGAAAATGCTGAGCTACCGATCACACGCCTTTCCTCCTCTAAAACACAGGCTATGAATCACATTTAAAAAAAAAATGAGGGAGACTTATTCATCGCAACACGCCAAGGAAGCGTGATTCAGGAATAATAATTTTTAAAAATTTTAATGAGCTTCCTGAGATCCAGAAAAATCCCAAATGGTCCAAGCTGGGAAGAGTGTCCTAACTCCCCGCCCCCAGCCAATGGCCTCCCCGCGCCATCCCAGCTCCTCGCCGCCTAAGGGGTGCACACCGGGACCTCTGAGTCCCCGTGACCCGTCGGACGAGGCCTTCCTGGCCGGAGGCGCCTAGGCGGAGGTCCCCAGCTCGCGCCGTGCGCCGCGACCCCGGCGAGGCCTGCGCCTCCCCCGCCCCCACGACGACCCCAAGGGGGAAGGGGCTCCACCGCCCACAGCCCGGGCAGACCCTCGGGGTTCCCGCTCCGGCCACCACACTCACTGCCCATGGCGGCGGCTCCGGACACCCGCGGGGAAGCGCGGCCTCGCAGCTGCCTTCCCTCCGCTCCGCACGAATCTGGCCTAGGCGGCGGAGGCTCAGGACACGCTCCGGCCGTTCCCGCACAAGCTCCGCCCACGAGTCATGTGACGCCCGCTCTCAGCTCCTCCCAGACCAGCCCCCAGACCTGGCGCTGGCCGTTGGCCGACGGCCACCGCGTTGCCATAGTTACCGTGGGCGCGGGGGACCAGGGCGGGGCTGAACGCCAGGAGGCGTGTCTTGGTTGCTCTACCCAATTCTGTGGCCTCCTAGAGGCCTGGGAGACCCAGGGTGGGTATTTTTTTTGTTTTGGTTTGTTTGTTTGTTTGTTTGTTTGTTTGTTTGTTTGTTTTTCCAAGCTTCCGGCTGGTCCAGGCGTCCTGCTGGTCTCAAAAAAGCCTAGGGCTGAGCTGCCAGAAACAGCCTTTTCTTTCTGCCCCATCTTAACTGTAACTTCTTAGAGCTTTGTAAAAATTGGTGACACGCTGTGCAGTCAATAGCTTACAAAAGTAAGCTCCATTCTCCTTACCCTTCTTCAAAATACAGACATCAAGGTTTTATGCCTCCTGAGACTGAGTCCTCTGAAGTTAGTTCTTCGACCCCTCTGGTAGCCTCCTGCCTCTCCAATTTGTACCTTCCTGGATAGTATGTAGTAAGAAAACAAAAACTGCAGTGTCAGAACTCATCAAGCAGGCCTACACTTTGATCCCATGAATGCTTTTGGGCAATCGAGCTAGCTGAGTTACTTATGGACAGTAGCAGCCATCTCAGGCCGGCGGCACGGAAGTTAAAGTGTGACACCAGTACACAAGAAAGCTCTCGGATTAATTTTTCTTACTCAAACTTTAAACCACTCCCAGAAATCAAGTCTCTGTTCTAAAGTCCGCTGCAACAAGCTATGTCAAAGGTGACATCCTACAGTCAGTCATCAATCAAATCCAAAGATATTATCATCGTGTTCAGATCTATAACCAAGAAGGAAACAAGCATGGGGGCAGGGCACCTTTAGGGTTGTCTTCAGGGGCCTGGAAAGGTTTTTTCAGTGCATTTGGGGAACAGCTGGAAAAACTCATGAGATTAATATTTGCATTTTCAAAGGCTCGTTCACTCAAATCTGGCCACCAGTGCTTACATAAGCACTGACGCATAGATTTGGCTTCCCAGTGTGGAGTGGGAAAGAACATGGACGCCCTGGGAACTGAGTCTCCTTTGTTGCGGTGCGTTTGTGGAGGCAGCGAGGAAGGTCTGCTTAAAGAGGAGACAGAACAGACACCACCTTGAGAGCAGGTGTGCCAAAACTAGAAGGCCTCGAGTAACGCTCCGGTCCTTTGAAATCATCTTTATTTAGTTCATCCTACCTCATTAGCCACCATTTCCTCCTCCCGACCTCGCTCCTCCTCTTTTTCTTGAGAATCCTCTTTTTCTGTATGAGAATCTCATACAGCCCAGAAATAGGTTAATTCCACAGATACTAACTTGAGTAAACCTCTCCAGTACTCTTTAGTCTTTCTGTACTTCCTCCTGACTAAATGTTACCCAGAACTTCCTTGGCCAATATGCTACCTAATCGCTATCAGGAATAGCATTCTACCTTACTCTTCAGATCGTCTTAGCATATCCACCCAGGAAATCTCTTCTGTTGGAGAGAGGGCTCAGCAGTTAACAGCACTTGCTCAGGACTTGGGTTCAGTTCTGTGATGGCTAGTTTTATAGCAACACTGGCTAGAGTCACTTGAGAAAGAACTTCAAAAGAACAGGTGAGCAAATTCACCTGTAAGTTTGGCATACGGGCAAACCTATAGGCCAAAGCCTTCATCTTTTACTTCTGTGTATTGCAAAGGCAAAATAAAATCATAAATTTTCTACATTTATAATTGATGTGGAAGGTCCCAGCGCACAGTGGCCAGTGTCACCCCTGGATACTATAAGACAGCAACCTAAAAAAGCAATGAGAATAAAGCCATTAAAAGGCACTCCTCCACAACCTCTGTTTCAGTTGCTGCCTCCAGGTACCAGCCCTGGTTTTTTTTCTTGACTTCCATCAATGATGAACTCTGATATGGAACTGTGCACTGAAATAAACCACTCCCCCCCAAGTTACTTTTGGTTGTGGTGTTTTATCACAATAGACAAGTTCCCCGGACCTACATAGTAGCTTACAGCCATCCATAACTCCAGTCCCAGGGAATCCAACACTTTCTTCTGACCTGGTCACCAGGCAACCACATACATACATGTAGGCAAAACACACATACACATACACATAAACAAAAGAGTCCCTCTCTTGACAGGCATGATGACACACACTTTAATCCCAGCAAGTAGGAGGCAAAGGAAGATCTGATCCACATATCCAGTTCCACTAACCCAACGGTTACATAGTAAAGCAGCCTTTTGTTTTGTTTTGTTTTGTTTTGTTTTTGTTTTTGAGACAGGGTTTCTCTGTGTAGCCTAGGCTGTCCTGGACTGGCTGGACCAAACTGGCTTAAAACTCACAGAGAGCTGCCAGCCTCTGCCTCCCTGAGTGCTGGGATTTCAGGCGTGCACCACCACACCCAGCTGAATATTTCTTGATAAAGTATCTTTCTACTCTTAAATGCTTGCCCCCCCTCCACCCCTCAGGAGCTTGGGAAACCGTTTATTCTACTAGCAAAGCTCAGAAACGTACAGACCGGGCTTCGGGATGAGAGCCCTGTGTATCGGCTACTTCTGGACACACTGGTGGGCTTCCAGTGCCCTCCCTCAACCTTGGGGTCCAGGCTTAGGCTCTAATCTTTGAGCAGGAAGCAATGCCTTCACCTGCTCAGCAGAGACCCTCGGCTGGTGAGGATCAGGCCGTCATCCCTCTCTACATAGCTCTCTGAGGAGAGAGCTACCTGTCATCATTTTGTCCTTAGCCAGCGGGTGTATTGTAACCTTGCTTCCAAAACCTATTTCATGGTCCAAAAGAGCTGTAGGAGCCGCACGGAGGCAGCTATGAGGCCCTTCCTGCTCTCCTGCTCACCACAGCTGACTCAGATAATTTCTGGGCTTCTAGACTTTCTCCTGGAAGAACCACCACATCCTATGGTTGCTGCTTTCTTGCATCTTCCAGACTGGCATCGGGACAAATCATTATATCACGGCTAGGGACTTTAATCCCAGCCCACCGCCATGACACCCATATCACTGTCTCCATCTCCTCTGCCCCTTTGTCCAGGATGACCAGAGTCACCCCGGGGACACGAACCTCACCTGCATCTCCTCCACCCACATGAAACCTCAGCCAGTCCTGCGGTAACTCCATACCGGCCCAGAAACACCAAATGGTTGTTTCTTATGTTCATTCACTATATCTGGCTCTCCATGTGAGTAAGAGAAGACACTAAACAATACTTATAAATTTAGAAAAAGTTTTCTAAATTAACGGATCTTAGAATTTAGGGAAATCAGTAGGTTTTATGCTGTGTTTTTATTAGATTTTTTTTTTTAAATGACAGTCATTTAAGGGTATTTGTACAGTGTGTTATATATGGTGGTTTTGTCCAAACTCCCCCCCCCCAAAAAAAACATGCTTATTTCATGTAATATAGACTCTGTGAAAAGCTACTACAATAAAAAATAAACAGTCAAATATATCCAAGAGAAACATATAGAAAGCTTTTGAAATGTCAAGCCTAAAAAACGCTGATTCATAATCTGAGCCTTCCTTCCTGGTCAACCCCCTTTTCTTTCCATTTTGTAAAAGAAATACTGTTTGTATTGCCAGTTCAAGAAACTTAAAAATGGGGCTGGAGAATCCAAATTTAGTTCTCAGACTCCATATCTGGCTGCCTAAAACCACTTGTAACTCCAGCTCCAGGGGATCTGATACCCTCTTGTGGCCTGTGCAGGTACCTGCGTGCATGTGCGCACACGCGCGCGCGCACACACACACACACACAGACATAAAACAAATCTTTTTGAAAATTGTAAAACTTCTGAAGTAATATAGGCAAACTAGAGAAATTAATTTTGGAATATTTTCCCAAATAGAAAGTATAAGGAAAACATAAGAAAACTGAGCAAAATGGTTCTTGCAAGGTATAATTTTTTATTTTGCAAACAATAACAAGTCATTTTAAGCAAAACTGAACTTTTCCCATGGTTTTTAATAGTTCAACCTACTAACTACAAAATTGAAGCTCTGTGCTTCACTTAACTTTAAACAAGCATAATTATGGACAGTACATCTGAGAAACTAATGTCACAGTTTTAAAAGGAATAAAATACACTAGTGTATGTTTGATTTGGAATTCTTCAAATGGTCCCTTTCTGCAACAAAATTTAAAATGTGGTTGAGATGAAGAAAGGTAAAGTGGCAGAAGGCACTTTCAAAGCATGAAATAGTAACAAAAAACAGTGAACTTATGAGACACAGTGTTAGGAAGAAAGTCAGAAAAAGAAAGACAAAAGTATTTTTAAATATATTAACTTCCATCTTATTTTATGGAGTTTTCAAATCTTTTAGAAATCAAGGGATACACATTATGCTTTTAAATAGGTCTTTGAAAACTCAGTGATTTCAATAAGTTTTAAGTTACAAGATTTATAAGACTTGACACAAAGGACTAAAAGATAAAGAAAGAAGAGAAAGGTAAAGGGTTGAAGGACTGCCTCAGTGATAGCGCCAGTAAACACAGGAGGAGGGGAGAGAGAAAAAGGGAGAGAAGGAGAGAGAAGGGGGAGAGAAGGAGAGAGGCAGAGAGAAAGAGACAGAGAGAGAAATACAAAGCGGTCATAGAAAAGAAAGACAAATACTAGGGAAATGTCAAATAAGCACACTAAAGCATTATTTTAAAACACAAATTATAGTCTGGCAAGGTGGTATACGACTTTAATCCCAGCACTCAGAAGGCAAAGGCAGAGAGTTCTCTGAGTTGAAGGCCAGCCTCCTCTACATAGAGAGTGCCAGGCCAGCCACTGCTACATAGCAAGAACCTATCTCAAAATCAAAACCAAAAAAAAAAGAAAAAAAGAAAAAGAAAAAAGTACATTATGACTCTATTATTGTAGCCAGGACCACCAATACATTAATGATGGAAGACATGGTCTAATTGCTGGTAAAACTGGCAAGAAAATGGTTGCATTCCAGGCCTAAATATGTCCCTATCACCTTTTAGAAAAACTGTCATAGAGCAAGAATGGGACATGTAGCTGCTCCTCAGAGCCGACTCAAATGAAGCCACACAGCTACTGTTTAGATCTGCCTCCAGCACTAGGTTTAACTCCCAACAGAGTGAGTCACTTGGTGACCTCTAAGAACCCCCAAGTTCCTGGTTTGGAAGGTGGCTAAAAATAGAATTCATAATTGTACCTGCAACTTTTAGAGACAAAAATGATTAATCTAACACTGAAATCCCTCTATCAAACATCAAAGTTGCTGGGTGTTGGCGGTGCATGCCTTTAATCCCAGCCCTTGAGAGGCCAAGGCAGGTGGATCTCGGTGAGTTTGGGGCCAGCCTAGTCTACAGAGATTCCAAAACAGCCAAAGCTACACACAGAAAAACAAAAACCAAAAGACAAACACCAAAGTAATTTTAAAAGTTAGAAAATGTCGAGCAATAAATATAATGGGGGGAAGGGGACTTAAAGGTTAAAAAAAAGCCCACAAGTCCATTTTAATACAGTTAATACTTTATAATTTGAAAATTATTAGGGACCAGGGTTATAGCTTAGTTGGTACAGTGCTTGCCTACCATTCCTGAAGCCCTGGGTTCAGTACTCATTACTGGCATTAACTGGGCGTGGTTGTACAAGCCCAGTACAACCCTGTAATGCCAACACTCAAGAGACAACAGGCAGGAAGACTAGAAGTTCAAGGTCATCCTCAGCTATACAGGGAGTATGAGGCCACACTGGTCTACATGAGACTGATTATACAATCAGAAATTGGTATTTAACAGAATTTATTTTTAAAGATAATGGATATAAACCTGAAAGAACATGAATCTGGAATTGTCCAGTTTTAGTGGTATCTGATGGGACATTTTGTAGAGTGGCTAAGAGTTGACATTTCACAGAAACATATTGCTGTTCATCGGTCTTTAAGGAGAAAAATTAAGGAAAGTTATATTCAATAAACTAATTAAGAGGTAGTGCTGGAGTTGCCTATACACAGCTCACATTCTGGCCAAAGAACTTTTTCTGCTCCTTTATAATTAGTTACATTGAGGTCAGAATCCAACTGGCTAATGAGCTTCTTTTCCAGTTTATTCATATCCAACCTTCAATGATAAAATCTAGTATATATTTCATGTACTTATAAAATCAATTCACCTGCTTATTCCACTTCCTCCAGATTCAGCTGTCAAAACCAGTCCAGAATTTCAGAGGAAGACAGACTTCTGCACTAGCTAGGGGAAAAGGGGAGAGAGTGTAGGAAGCAGGCTTTCTTGTATTGCACTTTGCTTAAAAGACAATGCTGACTTCTCAGCACGTTATAACGTGAAGGTCTGGGTGAGGATGTCTTCGTGCTGCTGCTGATGCACTGTGCCGATTCCGACTGCAGGTGCTGGCAGAGGTGGCCGGCTTACCAGGCGGAGCTGTTGGTGGAACAAGAAGACATCAAATGACATTTACATCAGAGTTCTGCTCAGTTCCCCTAAGAAGGTACGTATATTCCCTGTTAGCTTGTTCAAGCTAAGAAAAAATACTGAATTACAGAGAACAGATTAGGAGGAAGTATATCTACCACAGAATTCCAGGCATGAGAAGGTGAAAAAAAAAAAAACTATCATTTGGTCTTAGCTGTAGTTTCCTTAACTAGGTGTATTTATAAGTGAAAGTGATTTGAGCCTAGCAAACTCATACTAAATAAATGAACTACGTTCTAATGCACACCGAATAAAAAGATACAAAGAGCTACAACTATTCTTATTGCTTCTCCTTTCCTGAGGAAAATAAAGACGGGTAGTCTAACAGCATTGCATAGGCATATAGGCTCACAGCATTGTAAACATGTCTGGAATAAGTGTGAATTGAGTGTTGCTGGTACCAAGCTGTAAAACAAACCAAAAATACCCATCAGTAGCTTTCTCTAGCACTGTCATGAGGAAAGAGTAGGAAGAGTAACAACAAATGTGGTTCATAGATCTTTTTTTTTTTTTTTTTTTTTTTTTTGGAATGCAGACACAACTTTAACATGTTACAGTTGAGCATCCTTAATCCAAAACCTGAAATTCTCCAAAATCTGGAACTTTAAAATTATCATTTCAGTCCTTAAAAGGTATTGGGCTTTGGAGCATTTCAGAGTTTGGAATTTTTAAAGGTTCCTCAGCCTAGGAAGTCTATGCAAATACTTCAAAAGTCTGAAAAACTCACATATCTGAAACACTTTTGGTTCTGAACATTTTGGATAAGGGAAATTAACCTGTAATCGGCATACAAAAACAGCTCCATAAACTCAACCTTTTTCTCCAAAGAAACAATTTAAAACTAGATCTTTTTTAAATTCCCTCTTCTTCTTGCACATCATCAAGATATGACTATGTTACCTGAGCTTGTCTCAAAGTCATAAACTCAAGGGAACTCTAATATAGGTATGCACCACATGACCAGCCTAAAAATAGGTTTTATTTCATCTTGTCTTTAAAAAAGTGAGCAAGCTGGTAAGAGAAATCCATACATTGTTATTCAAAGAGAAACAAGAGAGAGAGAATATGACTATGAGTATGAATATATGAATAGGCACCCACCTTGCAGGCTAGCTGTTTCTCAAACCTTGGAGAAACAAAACACCATGGACCCATGTTCTGAGGCTCCTCCTGACTCCAAATGACATCTACAAAAAGAAGAATTTTACTTCAGCTTTCAGTCAATCAACTGATTGCTGCTATTGTTGAGACTGCCTACAAACAATCAGGGTGAGGAGACAGTGGGGGTTGAAGGAACTATTTTCATCACGACTGTTTAACTCGTATAAACTTATATATGAAGAATGTCTAGAGGAACAGATGGATAGTAAGCAGATAAATTTCTAACCTCAGTTAAATATATGCTTCCAACATGTTTGCATTTTAAAGTTTTTTATCAATTATGTGTATGTACGCATGTTTGTATAAGTGCCTGCCATGTGTACAAGTGCTCAGGCCAGAAGAGGACACTGGATCCCTTGGAGTTAGAGTTTCAGGTGGTTGTGAGCTATCCAACGGAGATACTGGAAAGTGCTCTTAACTCCTAAAGCCATCTCTCTAGCCCCTCATGACTTATTTATTTATTGTCTTTCTTTCTGCCTTTCTTTTTTCTGGCAAGTACACAGTTATGAAGAGAGTAGTTCTATCAATCTCCACATCTCCTCATCCTGATTGACTGTATCCAGTACCCTCCTTAGTCCCAAACATTAGCAACAATCGTTTTTTCTCTATCTGTGCAGCTTTAGCGTTACCAAAATACCATAAAAATACAGTACTTAGCCTTTTGGGTCTGACATGAATTACCAAAATACATTTGTGATTTGTTGAAGTTGTTGTGGATAGCAACAGTTCATTCCTGGGGCTCAGCGCTGGCTCGCTTGCTTTTAGCATCCTTTAGGCCCTGCCTAGCATGCAGTATCTCCTTCATGTTTTACTGATGAGTATGATATTCCACATTTGTTTTTTGTTTGTTCGTTTGTTTGTTTTGCTACAGGGCAACTGTGCTTATTCATTCCCTAGGTGAAGGACAGTTTGATTGTTCCCAGCTTGAGACAATTATAAATAAAGCTGCTTTAAAAAATAAATTAATTAATTAATTAAAATAATGCTGAAAGCTTGCATGTAGGTTTTTTCAGTTTTCTTTGTGTTTTCATTTTCAGAGTAAACCAGCAGTAGGAATTCTTGATTACACGGTAACTTGGGTTTTTGTGTGTTAGGAAGCCATCTTTGAAAGTGGTCACAATCATTTGCAATCCCAGCAGTGGTTAAATGAGGTTGCTTTGAATCCGCATGAGCACTTGCTATCAGTTTGTTTGTTTGATTGATTGGGGAGTGTGGTTTTGTATTTTGAATACACTTTTGTGTACAGGTGTTTTGCCTGCATGTACATCTACACGCCACCACATGTGTGCCTGCTGCCCTTGGAGGCCAAGGGAGGGCGTCTGAGCCCCTGAAACCAGAGTTTCAGATAGTCGTTAACCACCATGTGGGTGCTGGGGATGAGCTGGGTACTGTGGAAGCGTGGCCAGTGCTCTTAACCATCTCCCAGGCCCCTACCACAAATTTTACAGTACAAGTTTTTCATGTTGATTAAGCCCAATTTTTGATGACATAACTAAAATCTTTTCATCTAACCAAGCTCCCAGGGATTTGCCCCTAAGCCTGTTACATTTACATCTAGGCCTGTAATCGCTTAGTTTCTGAAAGGTGCTTACTACAGATGCCAAATTTTCCAATCCATTATCACATCTGATAGTAAAGCACTGACAACCCACAAATTCAAGAAATCCTCTTCAGGTGACAGTGGGAGGATGGAGTGGGCGGGTTCCAGGAGCTCTGCTTCCTGGTACCTTCCACATCCCCCAACCTCTTTCCACATGAAACAGGGTGAACAGGTTTCCGGCATTTGCAAAGCAAAGGGCCCTAATAGGAGCAAGCCTTTACCTTTAACGTGTTTGTATTTGCTCATCTCTTGTTGTAACGAGTCCAGCGGGAATGGGCAGAGTTCCTCTATTCGAATGATGGCAAAGTCATGCTTCTTGGTTCCCAAAGATTCTCTTTGCTTCAGCAGGGCATAAAAATGTTTGCCACAGCAGAATATGAGGGTTTTAACACTGTCAGAGACAAAGTAGACAATGATGTGGAAAGTAACATCCTTAAGAATTGTGTCAGGACAAAGAGAAGACTAGATTTCAGTGTGTTGCAGATAAAGCTGCTTGGGGCTCTTCTGCTTGGGCTCAGTCATCTGCTGAGCCCTGCATTTCTCCTTCAGCAACATCTGTCCACAAAGTTCAATCTTTCATACATATTCTCCTTAATGCATGCCTTAATGCATACACAAATTATCACATAATAGAAGAAATTTTGTTCACTTAATAAACCTCTACCCAGGATAGGAAACAGAGAACATCAAATTACCTTTTTGGATCTACTGATGAATCACCAATGACAGGTTTGAATGTTGTTCCTGGGGCCATTTCTTGAAGAGTTGACACAGCTGCCTACGGGAGAGAAACAGCCAAATTCATATCAACAAATGAGAGAGCTAACAGTTCCAGAATTCTGGCATGGAACTGCCCTTAAGCATGCACACTAACACAGCATTCTCCAAGACACAGTTCTGTACACTTCAAACTAAAATGATAAGAGCTTGCCTTGTCTGTACCATAATACAGTTTGGTTTTCTTTTGTTTTGTTTTGGTTTTTGTCTGTTTGTTTGTTTCCTGAAACAGGGTCTCACTATGTAGCTTAGGATGGCCTGGAACTCTCTATGTAGACCAGGCTGGCCTTTAACTCACAGAGATCCCTCTGCCTCTGCCTCTGCCTCTGCCTCTGCCTCTGCCTCTGCCTCTGCACCCAGAAGCTGATAGTTGTAATAATTTTACATTTTGGCTTGGCTTCTTTGAGACTTCTGTTTTAAAATTACAAGGCTTGTAAACCCAATACTGAATTGTTGGAGGCAAGTGGATCCTGGAGCTTGCTGGCCAACCTAACTGAATTGTTGAGCCCTGGGTACAGTGACCCTATCTCAAGTGTCCTCCATTATCTACACACACACACACACACACACACACAAAACAAGGCAAAATAAATAGGTTAAAAACAGAGAGAAAACACAACACAAAAAGAGTAACAAAAGGAAAAAGCCTCTCTACTTACAGGGTACCTGAGTAACATCTTGGGAGAAGCAACGATGAGAGGTTTCCTGAAGTTCCGGACCATCTGTCTCCTGAGCAGGTGGAAATACTGAGCGGGGGTAGTCGGGTGCACCACAAACATGTTCACAGTGTCGCTGTCCACGCCCTCCTCTACACTGTCACACATCTACCTCGTCGGAAAGAGAACACAGGCATGCTGGGATCATCTACTTGAGTCCCAGGCACAACACGTTGGCCAGAGGGAAGCCTGCATATCCTCAGTTAATAAAGACATTTCTCACCGCTGTGTAATAGAAAAGTCCTAGCAGGCATTTCCCATGACCTATGAAGTATTAAAGAGGGGACGGAGGGCCTTCTCCACCTACACATTTCTAACATAACTACTTCCAGACCAGACTGCTGGACATGTGGGGAAGAGTCTTTATAAAACACATTCTGGTGACTTTCTCTTGAGCAGCTAGTACCCACACATGGGAATAGGATGTAAAGGGGAGAGAATCAGATGTTCAAGGTTATCCTCAGCAAACACTAAATTCAAGCAGCATGAAAACCTGACTCCAGAAAAAGGGAGGGAGGAGTTCTCTGTTCTTTGCATGTTCTGTTCTTCCCTTTTCCCTCCTCCTACATAAAGTTAAAAGCAACTATTATTTGGCACGCTTGCTCTCCAGTGTGTCTTACTTTCTTCTGAGTACCTCTGCTCTTAAAGCCTATGCTTAAGCTTATATTAAAATATCTTTGGACCCCCCCCCCCAATATTCTGAGTACTGTCATATTAAGAGTAGGGAGGGAACATCATCAGAATCTCACTCTCTTGGTAAACTAAAATCATAGTGTACATATTTCAGACAAAAAAAAAAAAAATCAAACCTGACTGAGTCAGGTGAGGTGAAAGCCCAGCAACTGGAAGTGGGCTGGAGGGAAATAGGAAGGTTGGGAGTTCAAGGTCAGCCTTGGCTACATGAGACTGTCTAAAAAAAAAAAAATTAAGATGCATGTTAAAAACTTGAAAGCAAACAAGTAATCCTGCTGGCCCCTAACCCTAATTTAGAAGTAGTGCAGGGATAGAAATGGGATTTAAAAAAAAATCCTAGTATCTCAGAAGGAAAGGCAGTAAGGAGCATCCAAAAAAAAAAAATCCAAGGCAAAATCTTCTAAAGTAAGAAACCCCTACGGATGCCTAATGGAAGTGATGTCCATCACTGATGTGGAGAGATGGGTGCCTATAGGCAGTGAGCAGACCTCAGAATAACACCCAGTAAAGCAGAGTTCTCCCCCCAATTACATCCCCAGGATCCAAATTCTGGAGCCTGTCCTCAACTATTGCTTCTAAGGAATACCCTGGTACCCACTGTGCAGGATAAAGAGAGTTGTTCATTCTCCATCCGAACACAGAGAAGGTCTTTGAAGAGGCCTCAGTAACCAAAGGCAAGATGAAACAAAATAGCATAGGGATGACAAAAATACCATGCAGACAAGTAACTTTTTGCAGGAGGAGGGAAGAAAGAAAAGGAACACAGCTTGCCAGGGATAGTTTGGGTTTGCTGTTGTCACTTTGTTTTGGGGGGAATGACACAAAGTCTCCTAGAGCCCAGGCTAGCCTCAGACTCACTTATAGCTGAGGATCTCCTTGCATGCCTGATTCTCCTGCCTCTACTTTCCAAGTGCTGGGATTACAGGCATGTGCCATGCGACCATGCCTGGCTTTGTGTAGCACAGAAACTGAACCCAGGGCTTCAGTGCATGATAGACAGGCACTCTACCTACTGAGCTACACCCCCAGCCCAGGACAGAGTCTTAAAGAGAACAGAACAGGGATGGAAAGACGGCCCTGGCTGTTCTTCCACAGGTCCTGAGTTCAATTTTCAACCATCTATACCAGGATTTGATGCCCTCTTCTGGCATACAGGTGTACATGCAGACAGAGCACTCATATACATAAAGTAAATAAATAAATAAATCTTAGAGAGAGCAGAACAGAACAGAGCAAAGTCAGAACAGAGAGAAGAGCATAACACTGAAAAACAAAGTTAGAACTCTTCTCTGAAACTACAGAAGTATTAAACAAATAAGTACCAAGAACATGGGCCTGGAAAGGTGCCTTGGTGGTTAAGAGCATTTGCTGCTCCTTCAGAGGACCTGGGTCCAGTTTCCTGCACCCACACAGCAGCTGAAAACCATCTCTAACTCCACTCAGGGTATCTGTGACCTTCTCTGGCTCCCATAGACACCAAGCATGCACCTGGTGCACATACATACATGCAAGCAAAATTTCATATACATAAAACAAAAACGAATATTTTTAAGTTGAAAAATAATAAACGTCAAGAACAGACAGGGCTGAAAGTATAAAATTCACAAAGAGCTTGGCATAATGACAAAGAAAATAGAAGAAACAAGCAGGCAGAAATAAGTAGCAGAAATGCTTCTAAGTCACTTACATATGTGAGTCACTTTTGCACGGCTGAAAATAAAATTGATAATATAAACAAAGGACTTGAGATAACCATAGTGGCATCAGATAAAACAAGGGCAATAAAGACAAACAGCAAAACCCCACAGGTGTCCGTTTGTTTGTTTGTTTGTTTGTTTGTTTGTTTGTTGTTCTGCTGTCCCAGCTGTAGAACCAACCGGGCTAGCCTCTAATCCCATGCCTCTACCTCCCCCAGAGCAAAGCCATGTGCCCCCACATCCAAGAAGGGAGCTGTCAAACCCTACAGATGAAGTTCTTGACACTCAGACCTTAAGGGACAAACACTGCTGGGTTGATGGCTAGAGATAGGTCAATTATGTCACTGTGTCTCAACAGTTAAGAGCACTGGCAGCCATTCCAGAGGACCCAGGTTCAATTCCCAGCATCCACATGGCGGCTCACAACAATCTGTAATTATATTTCCAAGGGATACAATGTCCTCTTCAGGTCTCTGCAGGCATTGCATGTACGCGGTTCATGAACATATATGCAGGCAAAACACCCATACACATAAAATCAAAGGAAATAATTAAAAAAAAAAAGCTGTTAACACTGGCCTTTGCTCACCTGTTATCAATGCTATCACCTGTTACAGCCACCAATCGCCTGTAGTGGTTTGCATGAGAAACCATGAAACTGGTTAACTGGTTTTCATGTGGTTTTAAGATGGAGTTTCATGTAGTTCAGTTGGCCTCAGATTTATGATACAGCTGAGGATGGCTTAGAATTCCTCTAATCCTCCTGCCTCTACTTCCCAAGTGTTAGAATTAAACATAAGCTCGATCACTTCTGACCAAGTCCAGGTTAGTTAGGAACTGCTTAAATTTATTTCTCGCATTTATGAAGGCTGGGAAGTCCAAGATCATGTGGGAAACTAAACGTCTGATCCAGGCCCATCCCTGACTCATTCATACATGGCATCTTCTCGTGTGGCCTTAAATGGTGGGAAGGGCTAGTAAGCAGCTAGGGAGCTCTCTCAATAAAGACATTCCCAGGCCTAACAGCTCTCTCCTTAGGACGTCATCACTTACCACAGGCTTCCCCTAATTCTACCACCTGGCTTCGGATGATGGGGTGTAATTCAGTGAATGAATTTTGGGAAAGCACAGCCAGATTATGGCACAAGACAATAAATATTCTTGGTACAATCAACAGGATTTTCTCCATAAGCTCCATTTTGTACATTTCCCTTTCCGACCATCACTTTCTATCTTTTTAGCTCTTTTGTTGCTCTTATTGCACTCTCCCTCCCCCTCCCCCGTCTCCCCAGCTTCCTCCCTCTCTGTTTGTGTGGGGTGGGTGTGGGTGTGTGTGGGTACAATTGTGAGGTTAACACTGGGTGACTTCCTCGGTCACTTTCCACTTTCTTTTCTGAAACAGTGTCTCTCACTGAACCTGGCTTTCACTGACTGCGCTAGGCTGGCCAGCAGTGACTTCCAGGGCTCCATCTGCCTTTACCCAGCATAGGATTCCTCCTACTCGTCTCCCCGTCACCCCCAGTCATGCAGAAGTGCTAGGGAGGGATAGAATCGGGACCACTAACATGTTAGGTGAATACTCTATCACTGAGCTACACCTCCAGCCTAAAATCAGTCTGTACCTGTGAATGTGTGTTCCTGTGGATGAACTTCGTTATCACAAGCCTGGTTTTTGAATGTGGATGCTGGAAAGCAAATTCAGTTCCTTGTGCTTGGACAGCCAGCATTTTACTAAGCTGTAGCTCCCTTTCTGAGAATGTATCTCCCATCCACCTCCTGCCTACCCTAAAACGTCCTAGGCCTCCTGAGAGCTCAAAGCACAGGATGCACAACCATGCCTGACTCTAGAAACTTCTACTTGCCATAGAACTGTGATATTGAGAGCTGAGGCATTATGCTTCCAAGAATAGTGATGCTGCCTTGAGCTGGTTTCAGCTAACTGCCAAGCCTTACAGTTAAAGCACACATGAAGCTATCTACAGGAGGCTCTACATGAAAGAGCAAAGCACTTTGGAAACAGAAAGACACTTTGGAATCGGGCATCCCACATACCTGTAGGAACCGCTCTATCCGACAGGATGAGTGGTCAGGTCCCGCCCCGTCATAGCCGTGTGGCAAGAGGATGACAATGCCACTCTGCAGGAGCCACTTGGCCTCTCCTGGGAAAGCACAAAACAGGGATTTTTCTCTGAAGCAGGAACAAAATAGCCTGACAGGACTTGGGGAATGAAATCAAACGTTAGTTTGGTTCCTGACCCTCCAAACACGCATCCAAACAGCCATCTGAATGTGTGAAAGCCTGTGGTATCACACACTTTGGGCTCTGCTGACTAGAAGGCTGGTTCAACAGTAAACACCCTAGTGTCTCAGATGACATGTGGCACTCTGACTTCACTACTGAGCAGCTCTTAGCAAAGACAAGTGGCACTGATTCAGCCACCAAGGTGTGAGGAGGAAGGATGTGGCACCTGAGCTCAGGGTGGGGAATCCATGAAACTGCAGCTGCTTTGATATGTACTGGGAAAATGTCTCGTCTACTAGTCTGCATGGTAACAGGGGTTGATTGGATCTTGAAAATGACCTTGGACTTCAAATCTTTTTTTCTGCAAATCCCTTGTAGAGATTATCTCTTTATAAATTTTTTTTCCTAGAATTTGATACATACAGGTAATTGCACCACAGTAGCACATAGTAGAAAGTTTTGATGTCTTTAAACTCATTTATGTTCCATAAACGTGTTTTTGTTCTAACCCTGGGTGAAGGATAAGGGGCGGCTTCAGGCTGTCCACAGCACCAGACTATTTGCATTACGCAGGCTCTGAGAGGGGAGTGACCTTTGTCAACTGCAGGTGGTTTACTTCTGGGGCTTCGGGTGGAGAAGAAATGCCAGAGGGGGCAGGGGCTCTGAGAAAAAAGGAGGCTACTGCTCCCCCTGCTGCTCCTGGTTGCTGCTGTTGCAGTTTGAGGAGAAGAAGTTGTAGATATCCTAAAATGAAGACTGAACTTGCCCCAAGGAACCCGATGACCCTAACCAGCAGGAAGTAGATAAAGAAAACTATTTTCCCTCTCCTCACTAACCTTCTTTCTCTCCTACCTGGTGTTGAAAGGGATTGGCGTAGAGAAGGGGGCTAGAGGCATAAGAAACCCCAATAAAATAGATAAAAAGTACCCCCACAAGTGTCTCAGAGTCCCCCTTTCCCTCTCTGGGCTCTGGCATTTATTCCCTCTCCAGAGTCCCCAGAATTAAACTATCTGCAACTGGCAAAGATCACCCCCTCTCAGAGCCCACACAAGGCAAATAGCCTGCTGCTTCAGACAGTCTGAAGCAGCCCCATATCCTACACCTGGGACTAAATAAAAACATGATTACATAACATAACATTGGGTTTTTAAAGACACCAAAACTTTCACTACAGTGGTGTTGGTTACCCAAGGATTTCTACAATGATGTCATTTCTTCACAAATAAATCAGTTTGTCATTTAAAGAAGAGAGAGAAGCAGCTCCTGCCATGCTCACAGCACAACAGGCAGCATTGGTCACTGTCCTCAAATAGAGAGCAGTACACACTGGAGAACAGTCTCTGGGGGCAAAGGAAACAGTTCGGGTTGTAAAGTACTTGCCATGTGAGTAGGAGAACCTGACTAAATCCCCAGCACTAACGTCAAAAGCCAGACTTGGTGCACACTTGGAATCCTGGTGCCAGGGAAGTAGAGACAGGTGGGTCCCTGGAGCTTGCTGGCTAACTAGCTTATTCTAGCTGGTGAGCCCCAGGTCCTGGTGAGACACTCTATCTCAGTAGATAGATAGATAGATAGATAGATAGATAGATAGATAGATAGATAGATAGATAGATAGATAGATAGATAGATAGAGTGAGCAAGGTGGAGCCTCCTTGGGGTGGCTCTACATCCTCCCAACACCCAGGAGGCAGAAGCAGATAGATCTCTGTGAGTTCCAGGCCAGCCTGGTCTAGAGTTCCAGGATAGTCAGGGCTACAAAGAGAAACCCTGTTTCAAAAAACAAAAACAAAACCAACAAGGTGGACAACTCCTGAAAAATAGCAGAAAGTTTACCTCTGGCACCCATATGTACCTACACACACATGAATGTACACCTGTACACACATGTATACCTACACATGCATGAACACACACAAATAGTTGATGAACATATCAAAATCTGGGTCCCTCAAGCATCTTTCTTCCTTTTGAAAAGTTGCAGAACTCATCAGTCCCACCATAAAGAGTCCTAGTGTCACCACAGAATGTTGGTTAATTATGCTCCTCAACACTCCAAGCGCAGGTGCGGAGCCACCAGATACGTCTCTGCTCCCTGCAGCTAGGAACATTCCCCAGGCGATGTGAGGTAGGGAGAAGGCGATGAAATGCTGACAGACAGCTAGGATACTCTTCCCAGAGGCTCATTAAATTGCCTGACGCCTGCCACATGCCTGTAGATAGGAGGGTAATTCCCCAAACTCCCTGGAGATGCTATGACACAGAGAATCTCAGAGGCAGCTCTGGCCCCTTCCCGTTCACGTATGACGCGAGACTGGAGCCACCCACCACCCAGCACCTCACTAATACTAACCTCCTGAGATGAACGTGTCAAAGATGATCTGTGCTCCATTGAAGAAATCGCCGAACTGAGCTTCCCAGAGGGGCAGCAACTTTGGGCTTTCAATGCTCATCCCATATTCAAATCCCAGGACAGCCTCTTCTGACAGGGGGCTGTTGCTGACCTAATAGTGAGGAAGAGAAACAAACACTGCTGTGCAGGAGACGAAAAAGGAAAGCATTGCAGGGATACAAACCTCTCAGCTGGAGGAGGAGCGTGGAGGAAATGTTGCTCTAACTCATCATCCTTTCTTTGCAAAAGGAGATTTGGGGGAAGTTAGGACAAAGAGAGGAAAAGAAAAGACACTGGAATACAGTCCTTTAAGATTTTCCTCAAGAATAAGTAGTACAGGGCTAGGAAATGGCACAGTGCCAGAGTACTTGTCTAGCACTCACAAGGCCCTGGGTTCAATCCCCAGCACCATTAGAAAGTGGGAATAAAGAGGGAATTACTGGGAATGGAGGGGAAGGACAGCAAGATGGCTGAGAAGGTATCACTAAGCCTCACAAGCTGAGTTCAATCACTGGAACCCAGAAGAGAACCCACTCCTGAAAGATGTCCTCTGACCACAAGCATACACTAAAAATAAGCGATATAAGCCAGATAGTGGTGGTGCATGCCTTTAATCCCAGAACTCAGGAGGAAGAGGCAAATGGATCTCTGAGTTTGAGACCAGCCTGGTCTACAGAGTGAGTTCCAGGATAGCCAGGGCTACACAGAGAAACCCTGTCTCAAAAACAAAACAAAAAAATTAAAAAAAGAACAAGCAATAATACTTCTCGCATGAATACTTTTAAATAGAAAGTAAAACTGTCAGATAATTTTTTTCAAAGGCATCATAAAACAAAGATGGGAAAGTTACTATATAAAGGCCTGCCATTGGTTGGACTCTATTAGTGTAACACAGCCGATGTGTTTAGAACAAAAAAGTCATCACGTTAAGACTGACCTCTCAGGAGTGGAAAGAGGTCACAGCTAATGCATCAGGATTCTAAAGTGGGCTTGAGAAAGACTGGGGAAGAGTGTCACTCTGCTGAGCAATGGAGGAGAACAAACACACAGGGTGTCAGGTTGGCCATTTGCTCTGAAATGGTTTAGAATGAAGAAAACGTTCCTTTTATATACCCAATTTAAAATCAAAGTCTGTATCTGTCTCAAAAAGACTCTTGTTTGAGATATGCTCTCACTCTGCAGATCAAGTTGCCTAGAGCTTCACTCTGTAATTCAGTGTGGCCTCGAACTCATGGCAATCCCCTTGCCTTACCTTCTGGACTCCTAGGATTGTAAGCATCAACCACCACACCCATCCTCCTCCACGTTTTGTTTTCTTTTTTCTAATTTTTGAAAGTTACATGTCTATAGAATGTTTTTGGCAGTCAGAAAGGATGAGGCACTGACATAGGCGGCAGCATAGGTGGCCCTTGAAAATATGCTCTGTTAAATTAAAGTCACGAAAGGACACCTGACATTCTATGTATGAGCTTCCTCAGAAAGACAAATCCATTAAAACAGACAGTCTGCTGACTGACTAGCGGCTGCAGCCACTATGCAGGGCCGGGGTTGGGAGTGGGAAGAATGGAATGGGAGACAGGTGCTGAGAGTTCCAGGGTTTCCTTCGAGGAGATGAAAGTGTTCTTAAATAAGACCAGGGTGATGGCCCCAGTGTGGAACTATACACATGCAAAGGTCAAATTTTATGAGTTATGTTTCAATAAAACTTTTACCAAACAAACACAACCCTAGCGCATTGGAAAGATGGCTCAGTGGATAAAACATTGCCATGCAAGCATGCAAATGAGTGATCCCGGTTAAAGCAAACAAACAAACAACAAACAAAGCCCCCAAAACCTAGGTGTGGTGGCACAAATTTGTAATCCTAGATAGATAGAGACACATGGCTCCCTGGGGCTCAGTGGTCAGCCAGCCTAATCTACTTAGCCAGTGAAAGAGCACGTCTCAAAAAAAAAGAAAACGTGGATGGCACTTCAGAGACAACAGCCAAGCTTGTCCCCAGCCCATGCATGTACATGCACACACAATGCGCTGGTTAGTTTTTGTCAAAGTTAACGCAGACTAGAGTCACCTAGGAAGAAACTACCTACATTGTACGAGCCTGTGGCATGTCTTAATTGCTAATTAACGAGGGTGGAACAAGCCCACTGGTGGTTCCGTCACTGGAATGATTCATACATCTGACCTGATCCAAAGACAGATGGTAGAAAAAGTAAAGAAAGGGCTGCATCTCCTTTAAGTCACCTTGGAATGCTCCTTTCACCAGCTCGTATGAGGAGCGGACCTTAAAACCCCACATCATCTTCCACCACTTTCCACCTTAATTTTTGAGACAGAATATCTCACTGAATGTGACGCTCACAGACTCAGCTAGCCTGGCTGACAGTAAGGTCCTGGGTCCTCCTGTCTTTACTCCCCTGGTGCTGGGACTGTCATGCCTGGCTTTTTACTGGGTGCAAGAGTGAACTCACGCTATCTTCCCAGGTTATATTCTCAGATCAAAAACTGGAATAGAAAGGGTGATAAATTATTAAATTCACTTTAAAGGAATAATTTGTTTTCATAAATATCATGTACTGTTCAACATAGTAACTGTTGAAGAGACAAAAATGAAAAGACCTTCTTCTTAAGATTTTGAAAATCCAAAGGAATGCCTGTTAAACTTTAAGCCCGATAACCTACAAGAAGTGTTTCCACCTATTCTGTTTTAACGGGCTAGAAATGTCGGCTTGCTGTGTGCATCCTTGACTAACTTTAATAAATCACAACGCTTTATAGACTGCAATGTTGACTGTAACTCGACGGAACTCAGGCCTGCGTGCTACTGCATGATTACAGATAGACAGTCAGAGGAACTGTTCTAGCCTTCAATCCCAGCTCCAGCATGGCTCTCATTTGTTTTTTCCATTCCAAATTTATAGACCTCCATTGCTTCCCACTCAGCACTCTTTTACTTAAAAAAATAAAGTCTTGAGCATAAAGCCTCTGACACCTGAATTTAGTTGTCAAGTGTGGTGGCACATGCCTAAACTCCCCAGCACTTTGAGGGCAGCCTGGACTATGTAAGCCTCCCACTCAAAAAAATGAAATCAAATTTTATAACTGTAATAGTTGGCACATCAATACATAGATTTTATATATAAGCGACTTACCTCTAGAAAGCCCTTCTGTTTAGGGTCCATATGGTTCAGAGGAATGTAGGCATCGTCGGTGTTCTGGCAAACCACCATTGCATGCCTTTGACTAAAAGTCCCACGGCCAACATCTTGGCCACTCAGACGAACATTGAAACCTGAAGCAAGCAAGGAGCAAGCAAGAAAGAGGATTGCTGTGAACAACCAACACAAACAATAAGGCGTGGTATTTCTGGAGTCCTTTCTGTTTTGACATAAAATCTCTCAATGCTGTCCACACTGGTCTTGAACTCCTGCGCTCACTCTCCTGCGGAGCCTGGCGCTAGATATATATGTACTGTCACACACAGCTCTCTGATATATACTGGCTCATTTTGAGAATTTTTTCCTTAGGATAAAAGATTCCCCATATTAAAATACATCTTTCCTTATGCCAGAGAGATGGTTCAGTGGTTAAGAGCACTTACTGCTCTTTCAGGTTCAGTTCTGAGCCCATACGAAGCTGCTTGTGCTCACCTATAATTCCAGCTACAGAGTGACCTGAAGTCTCTGCCCTCCTTGGGCATGAGTCTGTGCGCATGCCCATATATAGATATACAAATACACATCATTAAGAGCGGTAAGTTGGGGCTGGAGAGATGGCTCAGAGGTTAAGAACACTATCTGCTCTTCTAGAGGTCCTGAGTTCCATTTCCAGCAACCACATGGTGGCTCACAACCATCTATACTGAGATCTGATGCCCTCTTCTGGTATGTAGGTTTACATGAAGACAGAGCATTCATTTACATAAAAAATAAATAAATAAAAATCTAAAAGCAGCAGGGCGTGCTTTAATCCCAGTACTTGGGAGGCAGAGGCAGAGGCAGCTGGATTTCTGTGAGTTTGAGGCCACTCTAGTCCAGGACAACCAGAGCTTTACATAGAAACTCGTCTCAAAAAAAAAAAAAAAAATCTAAAAGCAGTAAGTCTTTGTGTGTGTGTGTGTGTGTGTGTGTGTGTGTGTGTGTGTGTGTCTTTTCTATATTCGAAGGTCTAGTAAATGTAAAATTTTTAAGAATGGAGCACCATTTTCGGCCCTTTCCAGTGCATCCAGGAGTACCCTGTGTAACTGTTATGAAACTGTAATGGAAGTGCTCAGCATGCCTTGGAACTAAGGAGTATTGTCAGGAAACACATCTTAAAAACCTCTGATCAGCGGAAGTGGCAAGTGGCCATTGAAACTCAGAAGATCACAAGTAGAGCTCAGAGAGTCTTCTACCAGCTGTGACAAATATCTTACCTTCAGCAAGTAAGGAGCCCAAAGCAAGGGTTTCTGCTGTGGCCCAGTCTAAATGTGTTCCATTTGTCACCTTCTCCATTCTTGACTGCAATAAATTAAGAGGAGGAGAATAAAACAAACTTTTAAGACCCCACAGCCTGAGGGCTGGAGAGAGAGCTTCATGGTTAAAAATGTTTCTTGCTCTTGCAGAGGGCCCAGGTTTGATTCCGAACATCCATATGGTGATACACAATCATCTATAATTCCAGTTCCAGGGGATCTGATCCCCTCATCTGACCTCTGCAGACACCACACACACAGGTGGCGTGTAAGAATACATGCAGGCAAAACACTCATACACATAAAGCAAAATGAATGAATCCAATTTTAGAAATAATTTTTAAAAGAATCCACATCCTTTTCTGTCCTTTTCTTTTTTTTTTCTTTCTCTCCAGCATTGGGGTCTGAACTCTGGGATTTATCTCTGGCAGGTAAATACTCTGTGTGGTTTGTTTGTTTGCTTTTTAAAGATTTGTGTATTTATTATGTATACAATGTTCTGCCTGCAGGAATGCCTACAGGCCAGAAGAGAGCACCAGATCTCATCATAGATGGCTATGAGCCACCATGTGGTTGCTGGGAATTGAACTCAGGACCTCTGAAGACCATCCAGTGTTCTTAACCTCTGAGACATCTCTCCTGGCCCTACTCTATGTATTATACACAGTTTTAAAACATGCAAAATAAGCATGCAGTCAGAAAGGAGTCACCTCTGCTGAGGTGTGAGGAGATGGAAGCAGAGAGGAAACTTTATCTATAACATTCTATTTTTTTAAGATTTATTTATTTTTATTTATGTATATGAGTGTTTTGCTTACATGTATGTATGTATGTATACCATGTATGTGCCTGATATCTTCAGAGACCAGAACAGGGGTCAGATCCCCTGTGACTGGAGCTACAGATGGTTATTGGCCAGCCTGTGGGTGCCAGAAACTGACCCTGGATCCTAGGAAAGAGCAGCCGGTACTCTTAACTCTTAGACCAGCTCTTCAGCTTCAAATTTTCTATTTAAGCCATTTTCTATTTCATGTATTTTGTTTGTAAGAGTTCCGCTAAAACAGGGATAACTAGAGAGATGGCTCAGTGATTAAGAGCACTGGCCGCTCTTCCAGAGGATCAATTCCCAGCACCCACATGGCAGCTCACAACTGTCTGAAACTCCAGTTCCAGGTGACCCGACACCCTCACACAGACATACATGCAGGCAAAACACTAAAGCACATAAAACAAAAGTAAATAAAAATTTTTAAAATGTAGAGTCCTGATAAAATGCAAACTTAAAAGCAGAGGCGGCATTTTAAAATAGTTCAGAGGACATAGTTCTGTAGCAGTGGTTGTCAGCCTTTGTGGCCCTGTAACGGTTCCTCATAGCTTGGCGACCCCCAACCACAATTATTTTTGTTGCTACTTCCTATCTGTAATTTTGGTACCGTTATGAAACATAATGTAAATCTCTGTGTTTTTGATGGCTTTAGGTGACCTGTGTGAAGGGGGCCGGCTCCCCAAAGGAGTCACAATCCACATGTTGCAGACCACTGTCCCACATCCATGCTTCAGGAAGTGAAAGGCCTTTAACTCTTTGTTTTCCTAGTTTTAACAACAGAAAGTCCCATACTGTTAAAAAAAAAAAAAAATCAGCTATAGGCAAAACAGGATGTTGAACACAAGACAATATGTAAAACCTGCGTATGCTGAAAGGTATAAATGGTCATCTTTGGAATACATCTTTTAGGGTATTTAAGATACCTGAAAGAATTATAGTGTTTTCTGTTCACTAGTTAGAAAAATCAGACATATCTGTATGTTTTAAAACATCAGCATGCATTTCTTTGTGTGCATTATGTACTCAGCGTACATAAAACCGCGTGGAGGAAAACAGAAGTGAAGAAAATCTCAATCAACAGACTTACAGCTCCAAAGCCCACATGAGCATCAGCCACTACAACCCAGTAACAGACAGTAACTATTTCTCAAATCAGCAACCGAAAGCATCAGAATGTCCGTCCCTTTGCTGAGCGCAAGTGAAAAGCAGTAAAGGATGAGGTCGAGGCTTCCCACCTGCACATACATCTTTAGCAGCTGGCTGTGCAGCTGCAGCTTCTCTGGAACCTCCACGGACTTCATGCCAATGAACCGCAGGAGCTCTAGAGGCACACCCGTGTTCCAGGTGGTGACGCACGCTTCCGGCTGCACCAAGCCCTGCCAGCAGGCCCGAAGGTTAGTGGCAGGCGGGCTGTAGTGAGCCACGTTGGCCAGGTGGTCATTTAACTTGGTATAGTAGGCGGCTTTTATGTCAGCAACCTCCTCCTGGGTCATGAGTCCGCTGGCGATGAGCTGCTCTGCGTAGGTATCAGGGATGCTCTTTCGGGCTCTGTTAGAGAGAGATGGGAAGTGGGGAAGAGACAGACAGGGCCAATCAAATACACACAATTCTAAGGGAGTCATTGCCAAGGCACTGCCGGATGTTATCACCCTTAAAAGTCACTTAAATGTTCTGAAACAAGATACAGATGCTGGTTGTAAAACACTGTAATCTATTAAACATTACAGAACTGTTATTTTTAATATACTGCAGGAAGCTGGAGACACACCTCCACAGTCTCAGTGTTGCCCACTCTCTCGTAAGGATCCGAGTTCAGGGCTCAGCATCCATGTTAGGTTGCTCACAAACGCCTGTAACTCCAGCTCTAAGGGACCAGACGCTCTCTTTTAGCTTCTATGGAAACGTGTTCACAGACACACGTGTATACATACTCACAGAGATAAACACACATAAGCTAAAATAAAATAAAACATCTGGGAATGCTAGCTAGTCTAATCTAATTGTTAAACTCTGGGTCACTGAAAAAAATCCTGTGTTGAAGGAGGTGACTGGCATTCCTGAGAAGGACTCTCCTCTCCTCACCTACCCACACACAAATTAAAAAACAATTTCTCAAACTATTTACTCTCAAGTTAGAAGCAGGTCGCTGGGTACAATTTAAAGAAGTGAATCGTGGAAGTCCTCCTCCTAACCCTGACAGTCATACTAACTAGCCTCAAGCAAGGTCTATCCAAGTCTCCTTGCCTAGTCCCATTCTCTACTTAATGAGGAGACATGAAGGGCTGGAGAGATGGCTCAGTGGTTAAAAGCATTGGTTGCCCTCCCGGAGGTTCTGAGTTCAATTCCCAGCAACCACATGGTGGCTCACAACCACCTATAATGAAATCTGGTGCCCTCTTCTGGCATGCAGGTGTACATGCAGACAAAACATTGTATACCTAATAATGTTTAAAAAAAGAAAAGAAGACTTGTAGGAAGGATCCTTTAAAAAAAAATGAGGAGACATGAAGTGTAAAGGACCAGGGGCACACTTGAGCCTTGTAAGATGACTGCTCTACAGTTCAGCTGTGCATCCCACTTCAAAGAATCTGTCAAAGGATAATGGGGGTGCGGGCTCACAGAGAGTGAAGCACCAACCTAAGTGCAGGCATGGCTGGACCCAGGCCCCTACACTTATGGAGGTGATGGACAGCTCCATCTTCATGTGCCTCCCTTACCAACTGGAGTGGGGGCTGTCACTGCCATGGATGCTGTTGCCTGCTATTGGATCACTCTCCCCTAGCTGGGCAGCCTTGTCTGGCCTCAGTGGAAGAGGATGTGCTTAGTCCTGATGCTACATGAAGTGGTGGGACAGGATGGCATAGGGGGCTAGGGGAGGAGAAGAGGGGACTCCTGAGAAGAAGGGGAGAGGGGAGAGAGGGTGAGGGGTGAGACTGGGAGGAAAGGGCAGAGGGTGTTAGTGTACCGTTCTTGTGGAATGTGTACAATTTACCCTTGTTCATTCAAATGCTGATTTCTCTCCTCCACTATCTGGTTTCAATCTGGACATTGCATTGTGATGCTAATTCTAAGTCTCAAGTTTGTGTAAACATGCCACCATTTGTTCTCTGTGTTGTCAATTAAAACAACCAGCCCCAATGCTGAGCAATAGTTACTCCATCCTAAACCTCCAAGCCCACATAGTTCTCTACCATTCAGATTTCACCCATTATACTTGCTTTTAGTCATATCTTAGGTCCGGTCCCATCTCTCCACGTGGTTTCAATCGGGATGTAAAGTGAATAAATAAACAAACTTAAGATAAAATATTACTTAACTTTTAAAACGATAATGGCGGTGCAGGCTGGCAAGAAGGCTCAGCTGATACAGGTGCCTGGGTTTGATTTGAAGGACCAACATGGAGAGAGAACCAATTACCTCAAGCTGTCCTCCAAACTCCACATATGTACGCACTTGCACATTTGTGCATACACACACACACACACCTCACATGCACATGGCTCAAAGCTGAATCTCCACCACCACAACAATGACTCCTTGATTGATTGATGGAGGCAGAGTAGGTGAGCCTGTATGTTAAAGGCAGATTGCTAAGTGTACCTGATGATCTTGTACATGGCTGGGTTGGTGAAGAAAGGCTCATCAAGCTCATTATGACCCCACTGCCTATAGCATAACAAATCAACAATCACGTCCTTGCGGAACTGGCGCTGATACTCAAAAGCAAGTCGGGTAGCTCGGACTACTTCCTCTGGACAGTCTCCATTGATATGGATGATGGCACAGCCTACTACCTTTCCTAAGGAAGATAAGATTAAAAAAAAAAAAATGGCCAGTTAAGGTAGGTTAATATTAGACATTTTCCAAGACCCACTTGCTTAAGTGGGAAGACAGCCCTGCAACACGGACCTAGTGTAGCCTGGTGGTCATGAATGCAAGCTCTGGAGTTCAGCCGACTAGTCTCAGATCCATGACTTACTGTGTGACACTGGAAATGTGAGAAATCTGTGTCGAGGCTGGAGAGCAAGCTTACGAGCACTGGTTGCTCCTCCAGAGGACTGGAGTGCCAGCACCCACACCCTGGCTCACGACTGTCTGCAGTGCCAGCACCAGCACTCTCTCTCGGCCTCCATACATGCACCTGTATGGGTGCGCGCCTACATGGGTGCGCGCCTACATGTGTGTGGTGCACAGCCGTACGGGCAGGCAAAACACCTGCGTGTATAAAATAAAAATAAAAAGACAAAAGTTCACGGTCTAGCCTGGGCTCTGAGTGACACTGTCAGGATTCCCTGAACTAATGGGTATAAAGTGTTACTGTCTCACAGTGCTTTGTGCACTGACAGTTGACATTTATTTTGTTACTGTTGTTATTATGATTTTCTTCCTGAGACAAAAGGTCACTAAAGCATGAGTCCTAGGAAAAGATTTTTCTTCCAAGGGAATTCTTGAAAGTGTCTTTCCTGTGCCAGACAATTCAAAAGGCATCTAGCCCAAACACTAGTTATAAAACTGGCTGACTGTTCCTTTCACAGAGTTGTGAAGTCTGAGTAGGCAATGAAGCCCTGACGCGGTGCTAAAACTGCTGTTTCCACAGATTAAAATAAGTGGACTTTGATTCTTTAGAACTAATTTCTAAATAGACTGTTTGAGTAAATTTACTGGGTGAAAGCTGCCTCTTTTTACTCACTCTGACTACTCTAAGTTTGAGCAGTGTAAAGGTAATTACTCCAAGGCTGCACCAACTGCACAGCTCTTTGGCTTCTACCAGGTAATTCAGTTGACCACAGAAGCAGTCTGGGACGGATCTCTCTCAGCCCCATCCTTGTCTTAGCTCCTCTGATTTACAAGCTCACAGTTGAGGCTGAAGGGCAGCCCTATGGAAGGATGTTTGCCTAGCATCCGTAACACTCTACCAAGTCCTACGGAGTGCTCGCCTACCGTTTATCCCGGTGTTCAACTAACCCCACATAAATCAACAGCGTACAAACTAAAAAATGAATGTTAATTTTGGTAATTATCGACAACTACTGACCATATCTAACTTCAAAAACTTAAAACTTAATTCCAGCACTTGAGAGGGTGTTGGTTTGAAGAGAAAGGCCCCCATAGGCTCATATGTTTCAGTGTTTGGTTCCCAGTTGGTAGGCTGTTTAGGAAGATTAGGAGGTGTGACTTTTTTGGAAAAGATTTGTCACTAGAGGCGCACTGTGGTGTGCACTGAGATGTTTCAAAAGCCCACACCAGGCCCAGTCTCTCACTCTCTCTGCCACATGCTTGTGAATCAGATGTTAACTCTCAGCTACTGCTCCAGAACCATGCCTGCCACCTGTCATGAGCCCCTAGACCAGCATGGTCTAGGACTCATCTGCTGAAACTAAAAGCAAGCCCTCAATTGTTAGGGCAAGTTGGTCTGATGCTTGTATTTTGATGCTAATTACTGGCCCTCAAGATGTGGTTACTGCCTGGATACATCTATGCTTATTGTGTAAACCTGCATAAGACATTATTCCTAGTTGACTGATTAAACCTAAAACCTAGGCAGGGCAGAATTGGGTAGGCGTGGCTAAGGTTCCCAGGCTTTGGGAACAGGAGAATCACGGGAAACAGACAGGTGGACAGGAAGAGAGGAGGAAGAGAGGAGGAAGGAGGACGCCACGATGGGTGCTGTGTAGGCTGGGACAAAGGACTACAATCAGGCCCAGATAAAGAATTCAAGCTAGTACTTATAAGCTAATACTAAGTTACTAAGAATTCAAGCTAGTACTTCCATTATGGATGGAAAGTAGCCCAGGTAAGGATGGTTAAGGAGGATGGCATTGGATGGGGAGGTGGGAGGTAGATGGTGAGGTTATTGAGACAGCGTAGGTGAAATATCTGCCCAGCCCAAGGTGAATAAGGCACTTACAAAATTTAACATTTATGTCTTATTATTTGTGACAGCAGGTTAAATAATACCACCATGATAATAATAGTGCTAATAATAAAAAATTATAAAGCCCAACACCCATCTGATTTACAACAACACCCAATTAAATGCTTCCTTTTAAAAGTTACTAAGGTCATGGTGTCTATTCACACCAGTAGAACAATAACTAAGCCAAGGAGGTAGAGGCAGGTGGATCTCTGTGAGTTCCAGGCCCGCCCGGTTTACATAATGGCAAGCTCCAGGCCAGCCAGAGTTTCACAGTGAGGCCTTGTTTAAAAACAAAATAATAAGATGGGATAACCAGCAGGACTCGTTATTCTGGATGAACGAGGAGTTTCTCCACAAACTCCTTGTCTGGCTGACAATGTCAAGTGTGGTGAGCTACATACCGATGTCACTGCTGTACAGGGACGACCTTCCTCTTTCTGCTGGAGTGGTGTAACCTAGCTGGTTATTGACTATCAGGTGGACACTTCCACCAATTCTGAAATGTGGGAGGTTGGAGAGCGTGAATGTTTCAAGAACAATCCCTTGGCCGCAGAAAGAAGCATCGCCATGAACCTGAAACATGCACAAGATGGAGAAAAGAAGGAATTGATAAACGGGTTTTCTGATAGAAACAAGCTGTTTTAAAATACTAACAGGAATACAACACCATCTCATGACTTCTTAGTGTGTTTAGACTTATCTCAAAGCACTTTTCAAAGGCGCCTTATCATTTCTTCCTGTTATCACTGTACTCTGGACCCCTGACTCCTCACTTCCATGAACACTCTAGCATCTGCAGCAGCACTAGGGGAGGGATGGCTACTACATATATGCAATGCAAGCATCGCTCTAGGGATTTTTTTTCCCCTATGCTAGGGATTGAACCCATGAACGCATGCTTCCCAGGCAAGCAATCTACCACTGAACTACAGGCCCGGCTTTAGATCTTGGAAGTGCTGCTTGAAAACAGCTTTAAGAGCTGGGCAGCAGTGGTGCATGCCTTGAATCCCAGCCCTCAGGAGGAGGAGGAGGAGGAGGAGGAGGAGGAGGAGGAGGAGGAGGAGGAGGAGGGAGAGGAGGAGAGAAGAAGAAGAGAAATGGGTTTGAAAGATCAAAATGTTATTCTGAAAGGATGTCTAAAACATGCTAATCTTCTAGAATATTCAAAGCCACTAGATCAGAATGTCACCAGGAAACCTGGCAGACAAGGTGGTTGGATAGGAAGCTTTCTTAAAAATCTGCTGCAAAATAATAAACATATCGTGGAAATTTTTACAAAAAAAAATTAAAATCCAGAATTCCATTTTCTCAAAAGTGTCACTCCACTTTCCTCTTGAATATCTGCACTCTCCTGTCACATCTATCAACCATTGCTCTTTCCGGTCTTTCCTCCCTCCCCAACCCTCCAGGCACCTGCAGGCAAATGACTTTGTCCCCAGGCTGAGCAGAACTATGTGGTGAGTAGTCACCGTCTTCAAGCGACTGCTGCCTGCCACGGGTCTTCCCTACAGCCACAGGGTTCACAGCTTCCAAGTGCGAGGGGTTAGGCAGCATTGTCACATGGAGTGGGTGGTGGGCGCCGAAGTCCAGGTCCACCGAGGAGGTCAGATGGGACAGGACATCTCCTATGGCTGCAACACTCTCTGGAAATTCGCTTAAGCCGCGCATCTTACGGAACATCAGCTATTAGAACAAACACACAAGATACGAGACAAGCCTTCTTACAGTGGAGTCTAAGGTGAGCTTAAAGGAAGATGACCATCATGTGAATTCTTCTGTAATTAATACAAACATGCATTACTTAAAGACAGGCACAGAGTTCTAGCGGCAGGGTCACTCAGAATTACTTGGAGTTCTTCAGACTCATGAGTGTCCACATTTTCACATTATTTCTATTGTTAACTACGTGCATACATGTGTGTGTGCCTGTATATGTGTGGTTGTGTGCCCATGAGTGCAGGTGCCCACAGAATGCAGAAGAAACTGGACCCTTCAATTAAAGAAACAGTCGCCTGAAACGTGCCTGGTAGGTGGTTTCTATTAGACACCCCAGGAAGACTCCCTGGAGCCCACCATCATAGGTCTTGTGCAGATAGGCTCATAACTACCTCCATGTCCCTCTGGTCCCTAGTGGCCTTGGGCAACTGCATTTCCACTGCAGCACTACTGTTGTCATGGTGGCCCGCCTGTTAGCCCTGTCGGTCTGGTACTAGCACCCGTGTGTTAGCCCCAGCACTGTGCCTTACTACCGTCCGCCTGCAGGGCATAGATGCCAAAGGACTGCACAGTAAGGGCATGCACCGCCTGAGACAAAGAACTCTGGGTGACTGGGCAACGCTGGGTAGAAGCAACGGTCTTTCCCAGAGAGCAGCCTCCAGCTGTTCATCCAGCACCAGTGCTTAGCCCTGAGATCACGCACACACGGGTCACACGGTAGGGGCTGAGCGGGTTGGATTTATGCATTAGGGAGCACAGGAGTGTGGGGGTGGGTGGAAAGGGGGGGTGTAACAACAATTAAAGAAAGAGAGGCCATAAATTTGAGAGAGAGCAAGGAGGTGTGTGGGAGGGTCTGGAGGGAGAAAAGTGAAGGGGGAAAATGATGTGACTATATTAAAATTTTTAAATTAAAAATTACTATTAAAAGATAAAAATAAAATAGTAGTCCACGGATATTAAAAACAAAGAAGCACAAAGCGCGTAGACAGGACCCTTACCTCTGGAGGTAACTGCAGAAGGCCTGTCAACAAATTCAGCCTCCCTCTGTGGGGCATCCCAATAATGACATCAGTTATGCCGCCGTAGGCTGCTGACTTCAGCAACTCATGAAAAAATCCCATCATGCTTTCGGCCCCTTCACCTCCATATCTCTTCACTGTGGCAAACTTGGTGGCCAAAAAGTGGTCAAACTCCTATGGAACAGACACATTAGCTGCTGGAAGGTAGTCAGTGCTCAGGCGGAAGGCACATTAAGTTCTGTGTGTTGTAAGAAGGCCCCACATTATTCCAGAGGTGACATCTGAGTCCCCTCACTACGTATCCACGGAGAGAGACATCACAGTATAGTACTGCTCTGCTAGGGACCCTTGACTCAGAAGGAGCTGTAAAGAGAGGAACCTGAGTAGTGGATCTTGTATCTCGGAGTAACCTCCTACTATATTAGTTTTTCCAGACTTAAGACCAGAATTTACTATCTGCTGCTTGGCCAACACTTTCGTTTTCTTTGCGGTTTCTACAGCACCAAGGTCTAACACTATGCAACTACTCAAGATGGCGCTACTCTTTTCTGTTTGACATGCCTGAGCCCTGACCACAGCCCTGGCGATGTGGTTCCACTCATTTAAATTGAGATCCTCTGCTAAGTAGTTTAGCAATCTTCAGGAAACAAGAAGGGATGTATAATCTTAAGGACCCTGTCAGTTTTTACAAAAATAAGCAGACAAAACGTATCCACTACTTTGACAACGACAGCTCGGGTATCTAGTAATGTACTTTGCTTCTACTTGGAGTGGAGAGTTGTTCGGTCTGCTAGGCCGAAGCAGTGAGGAGCGACGGGTGAGGTCTAATGCCTTCTTTTCCTCTCTTCAGTAGCTGCTTACCTTTGTGGGAAATGAGAAGACCTGGTCCGCTGACACTAGCCAGCACTTATTTTTACCACTTCTAGTTATTTATAGCTGTAAGTATCTGTATGCCAGGATGTACGTATGAGCGCAGGTGCCCTCAGAAGCCACAGGCATTGGGTCCCCTGTTGCTGAAGTTAAAGATGTTTGTGAGGTACCATGTGGGTACTGGAAATTAAATCTGGGTCCTCTAGAAGAACAAGCAAGTGTTTTTAACCACTGAGCCACCTCTCCACCCCTAGCTGATACTTTTTATACCTGAGATTCTAGCAATAGTTTTGACAGGTGTTTTCGCTCTTCTGTGGTAAACGTGTCCTTTCTCAGCTCCTCAAGCCTTCTGGCAAACCAGTCTTTCTCCTCCTGGCTCTGAAGCTGTGCGGTTTCTATAGAAATTGACCCACAGAAGATATGGTTCAAATAGGCTAACACTTCCTCAAGAGAAGCCTCTTCTTTGCCCATGTTCAACAGTCCTATGAAACAGAACCAAAGGGATGATTTCAAAGAACAGTCAGCCACACAAAAGATAAACTGTAGAACAGAAACAGGACACCATTGCTGCTTTAGATGTGAGCACCCCATTAGAAACCAAATTGTCAATGATTAGTAGTATTTCCTTTTTAAAAACAACTGTGGAAAATTATACCCAGGGTCTCTCACATAATAAGCAAGCACTCTGCCACTGAGGTACAGCCTCTGACCCATCTAGACCTTCTCAAAAGGTAAATTCAAAATTACAGTTGATAGCCATAAGGTAGCAAAACTGGATGGGAGGAGGCCTTCTTCATGAGGATGGCTCTCTCACATTATGTTGAGTTTTGAGTGTATCATAATTTCAGACTAAAATGTGAAGCTCTCAGGACAGAAATACATCTCTGCGTAAAGCTCTTGCCTAGCAGACACAGGATACCAGGCCTCACCACAATAATACTGATAACATAAGCAACACGATAAAACCCTAAAACGATGACTTCTGATTCAGGTCCAATTTTTTTTAATCTGTTTTGTTTTGTTATTAGTTTAGTTCCCAGGGCTGGGAAAGGAATGGAATAAGGGCATTTAGGCTTTGGAATGAAAGCAGCCTCAGTGGTTTCCCTGCCTCTGCCATGCAGCAGCTACACAGCACTTAAGTTTTCTGAGAGTGTTTCCATCTGTGGTAGTTCGAATGAGAAGCACCCCCCATAGGTTCAGACACTGGAATACTTGGTCCCCAGGTGGTGCTGTTTGGGTAGTTGAGGCCATGCGGGAGGAAGCATGTCAGCAGGAGTGGGCTTTGGGATCTAAAAGCCACATCCCACTCCTAGTTTAGGTGTGTGCTGTCAGCTTGCTGCTTGAGCCTCATGCCTGCCGGCTGCCACACTTCCCCACAGAAGTGGGGAAAGATTCTTACCCTGGAGAACCATGAGCCCAGATAAACCCTTCCTTCTATAAGGCAGCACCTCTAAACTAAGTAAAGCAATAATGACTTCTAGGAGCAGTTATTGAAATGAAGCAGCGTTCTATACGCAAAGTGTGTGGTGCCGACATGTTTGGGTTTTTAAATACTGTTGTTTATGTATGGGTGGGAGCACCGTGCATTTTTTGCCAAAGAGGAAGTAAGACCATTCTAGAACTTCAAGACAGCTCCAACTTGAAAACAACTCAGTGTGCCCCCTTGTCCCATCACCCAGTGCTTCTCAGCCTGTGGGTCACAACCCCACTGAGGGTCTAATGACCTTTACACACGGGGCCGCCCAAGACTATCAGAACCCAGAGATTTACATTATGATTCATAACAGTAGCCAAATAAAGTAGCAGTTATACAATAGCATCAAAAGAAATTTAGGACTGGGGGGGGGGTCCCCACAACATGAGGAACAACTGTATTAAAGAGCTGCTGAGTTAGGGAGTTTGAGAACCACTGCCTTTACTTCATGGAAGTCTCCAATCCGGGGCGTGCAGCTCTACAGGACAGAACAAGGCACTCTACGACAGCTCCCTGCTCACAGCCACGTGCCACCTTACCTGTGGTGGTGAAGGGTCCTTGGAGTGTCTGTACAAGGGCTTGGATTTCGGGCACAGTATCCAGCAAGGCTTGTCCAGGGAAGAGAGGGTTGATCTGGGCAGCTTTGTGACCATGCTCACAATATGCTGTCACCAGTCTGGCAAGGCCATGATCAACTAAATTGGGAGAATGAAATGGCACAATTGACGCTCAGAAACCATAGAAACACTTGTCACAGAAGGATGGCCTTAGACACATAACACACTGTTCCTACTTAGATCTACCGGTGATTTTTCAGGACCAAAGACAGTCAGATGCTACGTAAACACACTCGTTTTCTTAATTTTATCGCATGATAGCTAAAGTCCATGGAAGCAAAACAACAGCAAACAGGAAAGGAGCTAGAGCCATGAATGCATATCTGTAATACTAACCGCACATGTGATAAACATTAGAAAAGAATATTCAAAACTGAGAAGCATTATTTCTATGCTTACATTAAAGACAACGCCCCCCCCCCCTTTCTTGCCTGGTTAGTGCAGGTGTTTTAGATCTTAGACTGCACATTAAAAACAGAGCAGGGCTGGAGAGATGGCTCAGAGGTTAAGAGCACTGTCTGCTCTGCCAGAGGTCCTGAGTTCAATTCCCAGAAACCACATGGTGGCTGCTCACAACCATCTCTAATGGAGCTGATGCTCTCTTCTGACATGCAGGTGTACACACAGATAGGGCCCTCATACATTAAATAATTAGATAGAGATTTAAAAACAATATAAAACAGGATTATGCTGGGCGTGGTGTTGAATGCCTTTAATCCCAGCACTTGGTAGGCACAGGCAGGCAGATCTCCGTAAATTCAAAGACAGCATAGTCTACAGAGTGTGTTCCAGGACAGCCAAGGCTACACACAGAGACCTTGTCTCAAAATACCAAAATCAAAATCAAACAAAACAAAAAACCCAAGGCTTGAAAGATAACTCAGCAGTTAAGAACACTTGCTGGTCTACAGAAGACAAGGTTCAGCTCTCAGCATCCACATGGCAGCTCCCAATCTTCTGTAGCTCCAGTTTTGGGGGACTCAGAGCCCTTTTTTGGCCCTTTCAGGAACTAGGCACATACACAGCACACATACATACATGCAGGCAAAACATTTACACATATAAAATAAAAAGCTATCTATATGTCTGTCTGTCTGTCTATCTATCTATCCGTCTATCTATCTAAAGGTAATCTTTATACACACACATACATGGTTGGAGTTACAAATTTGGGAGGCAGAAGCAGATGGATTAAGGCCTACAAAGTAATTCTAGGCCAGCCAGGGCTACAGAGGGAAACCATGTCTCAAACAAACACACACACACACACACACACACACACACACACACACACACACACCAATAACAAAGCTAGGTAAAACTCCCAAATCAATGCTATGTTTCCTTTTCCCCCCCTAAGTGCTGAGGACAAAAATCCAAGGCCTTGTGCTTGTTAAGCAAGTACTCCACCATAAGGCCAAATACCCAACCTCACATTTCCTTTGTTAAAAAATGTATTCATTTATTTTGGCAAGGGGCATATGCATGCCAGACCATGTATGCAGAAGTCAGAGGACAACTTTCAAAAAAGAAAAAACTGTTCTCTCCTTTTACAAGGGATCAAATTTAGGTGCTCAGGCAGCCACATCTCATGTGCCATGTTACTGACACTCTTCTTCTTATGGACTCCAGACACAGTTATTTTATGAAACTGTAGAGAAGGAAATAACTTTAATTATCTTGCCACTCACATGATGCAAAACTATTATAGAATGATATAGACAAGCTGGGCACAGTGGCTTGCTTCTGGAATCCAGGCATCCTGGGGATTGCTATGACTTCAAGGCTATCCTGGATTACACAGTAAGAACAAGCTGGGTTACTTAGAGAGACCCTGTCTCAAAGAAAGCAGCTATAGATGACAGACTGGGAAAGCAACTCAGTGGAAGGGAGCTTGGCTAGCATGGGTGATGCCCTTGCTTAGTCCCCATCACCTAAATAAACAATTAACTAATTTATTAAAACAGTTCAGTAAAGTTAGGCTGGGGTGGTGGTACATGCCTTCAATCCCAGCACTCAGAGGTAGAGGGCATGGCTTTCCGTGGGTTCCAGGACAGCTAGCTACAACTTAGTGAGGCCTGAAGAAAATAAAACTCTTCAAACATCTCTTAGGGACATTTACTGCCATGCAACGGTTTCCCAGCAACATGTGTGCTTTGGCCTGTATTCTATGTGTTGCCCAGTTCGCCTCGTTCGCATGAGGAAAGATCAGGGATGCAGTGATCAGAGGACATGTCTGCTTTAGCAGCAGCATAATCCCATGGCTCTGGTTTGCTTCCTTCTTGAATCTTTCTTTTTCTAATTAATTTCTTTAATGTTTGAGTGCTCTATCTGCATAGATCCCCACATGTGAGAAGAGGGCATCAGATCTCATATAGATGGTTGTGAGCCAGCATGTGGTTGCTGGAAATTGAACTCAGGACCTCTGGAAGAGCAGCCAGTGCTCTTATCCACTGAGTATCCCTCCAGGTGGCCCCTGCTGGACATGTCCTCTAGTTTCAGGAGACATGCTTTCAGATATCGATCTTTACTGGGGACAGCCAGAGCTAAGTTCTATTCCTTGAGACTGAAAAAAACAGTGGGAAAAAAAAAAAAAAAAAACAATAACCCCTGCTGTTTGCAAAGGACTATGGCAAAAGCATCAATCTACATTGATCACCTTGTTGTTTACTGTAAATAAAAATGGCACAAGTAACACACACCTGTGCTTCAGGAAGGAAAATGCTAAGTCACCCAGCCTGAAGTACACCATCAGCCAGTTTAAACTAAACTTAGTATTTCATTTAAAAGCCAGGCAACAGAAAGATGGCTTAGCACTCAGGAATTCCAGCTGCTTTTTCCTGGTTCAATTTCCAGCACTCACACGGCAGCTCACATCCTTCTGTTATTCTAGTCCCAGGGGATCTGACCTCTGCGGGTAGCGTGTGCTCTCTCCCTTCACATCTGGGCTGTGTGTGTGTGTGTGTGTGTGTGTGTGTGTGTGTGTCTCAATTTTTAAGTGCTTTGGTTACAGACACGTACTACCATGTTTGACTCTTTTGTTTTAGGGTTTGTTTGTTTTTTTTGTTTGTTTGTTTTTGTGTTTTGAGACAGGGTTTCCCTGTCTGAAAAACTGTTGTTCCTTGTAGGTAATCCTGTTCTGGAGGTGACAGAACATCTGGGTTATAAGGACTAGTGTTGGTGGATGTCAGCTCCTCGGGCCAGGCTTTAGAGTTACGGTCATTTTCTGCTTCCTGATCAAGCAAGATGTGAGGGGCACCCCCCTCATACTCCCCCACTATGGTGCTGCCCTAGCTGCCATGCCTTCCCCTCTATAACAGACCGTCTCCCCTGAATCTTGAACCAAAATAAACCCCCTTTGATTTGTTTCTGCCACGTAGTTTGTAACATAGCCAACACAGTTTTTAAATGATACTTAAAAAAAATAATAATGAAATTCTAAAGTCGTCCATGATAAAATGTTTACTCTTCAACTCACCTCCACTGGGAACGGGAAATTTAGATAAATAAATCCAAAATCGATGCATAAGATTCTGAGCACAAATAAATAAGCAAAATAAAAGTACCTTGGCAACTAAGGTTTACAGAGGCCAAAGTACACGCTATTACCAAGAGTAAACTACAAAAGGCAAAGTTTAACTGCTGAGAACACTAACAAGCATCTCAACCCAAGAGCTTTCTAAAGGTAAATTTAATATTCCCGTAAATCCCCAGTGCGAAGGAATGCTTAGTGGGCACCCTAGGCAGCCGCCGAGTGTAAGCAAGACAAACACACGAAGGTGAAGAAGGGCAGTGAGGGTGCACAGCCTGGAACATCCCTCACTTCGTTCCCTCTTGTTGCTTTTCTTTTGAGTCAGGTTTTTTCCTATGTAGTCTAGGCTGGCCTTGAACTTGTTATCCTCCTGTTTTAGCATGAGAATGAATTTGCAGGTATGTGTCACCAGCTTTACCACTGTGTTACTTCTAATGTGTCAAAGTATTCCTTTCCAGAAGGTATTTATTTTACAAATACCCCCAAATTTAATACATCATCCATAATAGAAAAATAGTTCCTCTGGATTGATTTTACTTTCACAGCAACCGATAAACATGAAAAACACTAAAGCTAAGCTCACGGCCTCATCTGACTCCTATTCTTTAACTGGGTGGTGGTAGTGGGATATGCTTTAATCCCAGCCCTTGGGAGGCAGAGGCAGGTGGATTTCTGAGTTCAAGGCCAGCCTGATCTACAAAGCAAGTCCAGGACAGCCAAGGCTATACAAAAAAAACTGTCTCGAAAGCTCAAAAAAAAACTTTATTTTTTCATTTACTTACTCACTTACTTACTAATTGTGTGTGTGTGTGTGTGTGTGTGTGTGTGTGTGTGTGTGTGTGTGCAGAAGCCGTAAGAGGGTGTCAAATCCTGGGAGCTGGAGTTACTCAAGCTTGTGATCTGCCCAAAGAAGGTGCTAGAAACCTAATTCCAGTTCTCTGAAATAATATCAAGGCTGTTAATCACTGAGCCGTCACCCCAGCCTCCAGCCTTCCAATTAAAAGAATTATTAATACACTTGGTCCAGAATTTAAGGACAAATCCAAAAAGACTGCATTACAGCAAAAAGCATAGAAACAATGCTTTTTGACCCATATCTAAAAGGCTTCTCTTGATACTCAATGTTCTGGTTGTATAAGCTAGATTTAAAAAAATCCCAAATCTCTCTCTCTCTCACAACACACACAATTTGCATGAGCCAAGCATGGTGATGCATGCCTATAAATCTCAGAATACAGGCAGCTGAAGTAGGAGAACTACCAAGAGTTGAAGGCCAGTCTAGGCTACAATAGCAAGTACCAGATTAGCCAGAATTACAGAGCATGACCATGTCTGAAAAAATAAAACAAAATAAAATAAAAACTGTATACACGAAACATTTATTATATATGTTTATATTTCTTTTTAGCCTTAATTTTTATTTTATGTATATGGTGTTTTGCTTTCGTGTCTGTCTGTATATCACATGTGTACCTGGTGCCAGCACAGATATGACTTCATCATATCTCTTATTAAAAAATAGTGGGACTGGAGAGACCAGAAATTAAGCACACTGGCTGCTCTTCCAGAGGATCCAGATTTGATTCCTAGCACCCACGTGGTGACTGACAACTGTACCTCCAGTCCCAAGGATCCTCTTCTGGATTCCACTGGCACCAAGCACAAGTGGTACACAGACATAAATGCATTCAAAACACCTATACACAGAAAATAAAAATAAATAGATCTTAAGGAAGGAAAGAAGGAAGAAAACATAAGGTCAAGTAGAAGCGATCTGATCAACAAATGGGTAGTAATTCAGCACTGTTCACTGGAAGGTCTCCGTGTCATAGCACCTAGAAGACAGGGTATATAGCAGCGAGAAGAGACAGGACCAGAGACAGGAGCTCCAGGCAAAGTGCTTGTCTCCCAAGTCCTAGGTCCCGAGTGGATGCTCAACATCAGGATAATAAAATAATGTCAAGAATAGCAGTTCCGGAGAGGCTGTTAGGTTCACTCATCTCTTCTTAGGCTATAGCACCTGCGAGTAGCATGGCTTTGTGTTTGTTTGCTTGTTTGTTTTAAACTTAAATATGTTTACTCAGTATCTGCTATACACCGAGTACTATAGTAGACACCAAAGATTTAGATATGAAAAAAAATACATATTCTGTACATGCAGAACACATATTTAGGTATGGAAAATACATATTCTATACACAAAAAATACATATTCAGGTATGGGAAAATACATACTCTACATTGTTCAAGTTTTTAAACACCAGTGAGTTGAAAGAAGAAATAGTGTCTGAATCTTAGGGAGACATACTTCACCTGATGTAGCTGGCCTTTTGTATGCAGCACAGCATTGTCATTTATGAAGTTCAAGGGGCTGGAGAATGACCCAACAGTTAAGAGCACTTGCTACTCTTGCAGGGGACACAGGTTCAGTTTTCAGCACCATACTGGGTGGCTCACAACCACCTATAACTGCAGCTCTGTGCATGTGTCACACACATACATATAAAATAAATAGAAACAGCTCAAGTTGCTCTCCCCCATAATTGCACACACACACCCACACACACAGCAGAAAAACAAAACAAGGAGCTAGAGATAGAGTCCATTTGGTAGAATCGTGCCTAGCTTCAGGTTCAAGCCCTAGCACCACATATACTATGCTCAGCACTGAAATCCTATTATCTGGGAAGTGGAGTCAGAAGGATCAGAAGTTCAAAGTTATCCTCGGCTAACACGGTAAGTTAAAGGCCAGCCAGGGATTACAGACCCTCTCTAAAATAAACGTAAATAAATTAAAATAAAATTTTAGCTGGGGAAGTGGTGGTACACACCTTTAGTCCTAGCACTAAAGGCTGGCAGATCTCTTGAGTTCAAGGCCAGCCTGGTCTACACAGCACTTCCAGGACAGCCAAGACTACAGAAACAAAGTCTCCCAATGTTTAAGTAACTTTACTTTAAGTAACTGAACTTTCAGATGTTACCAAGCACCTCCTGGGAGAGCAAGTTCTCTCTCGGAGATGGAAAGCCACATGGTGACAAAAGGGAGGACATGTACAAAAAATCAACTCCAGACTTATGTGTCTACCCTTCCCACCTGACGCTCCCCAAATCATTCTCATAGTCTTCCAAACAACTATTAGCCTGGGGTTTCCCATGGACAGCTTAATTCAGTGGGTCAGTAGGACATGAAAGAAAAACTCAGAGGTGATCAAAGCAGCTTTATGTTGAGGGCCCACTCACATAGCGTTAAACACAGGCATTGCTCCTCCACATACAACACACATCCCTTACGACCAGCCAGAGGTAGACGCACATAGGCATGCAGTCCCATCTCTGGGCTGAAGGTGTAGGTAGCTCAGTGGTACAGCACTTGCCTAGCAAGCACAAAGCCTTGATCTCCAACACAATAAAAAGAAAAGGGGGGTGGGAGGTCATGTTTCTGAACTTCAGCCAAGCTCACTGAATTAGGATCTAGATAAAAGGAAAAACAAAAACAAAAAACCCTAGCGCTGGGAACTGGCATTTTAAACACTAAAATCACTGTTAGTACCACACGAGCTTAAGAATAATGGATATGAATTAGAGGGAGCTAAAGAATTGCTCAGTGGTAAGACTGTAGGTTCGAACAACACAGAAAAAAAAAACAAAAAAAAAAAACCTACACTGAATTTGCAAAGTGAAAGAAAATACCTATAGCCTGCAAAGCCAGAACAATCTAGTTGGTCAAAACGCTTTCCCTAAAAATATTAACTAAAACTAGCTCAGTATAGCTGGGCATGGCGCGGCACACCTTTAATCCCAGCATTCAGAAGGTGGAGGCAGGTAGATTTCCAAGTTTGAGGCCATTGTGGTCTACAGAGCTAGTTCTAGGACAGCACCACAGAGAAACGCTGTCTCAAAGAATCAAGAAAATAAAATCGAGTACATACAAAAGAGAGATGAGGTTTATTTGCAGTGGTCCAAGGTAAAAAGCAAACAAAATGCTCAAGGTTTAAATGTATGAAGAAAGAGTCAAAGGTCTGTTCAGGCACTTACAAGATAAAGAGGATTTGTTTGTTTTTGTGCGACAGGTCTCACTGTGTAGCCTCAGCTGGCCTGGAACTTGCTATGTAGAACAAGATGGCATCGGACTCACAGAGACCGAACTGCCTTTGCCTCTCCAGTGCTCAGATTAATGCCATGCACCAAGCCTGAGAGAGGAGATTGTCAACATTAGAATCTCAATCAAAGATGCCAACTGGGGGAGAGTGGCACACACCTTTAATTCCAGCGCTTGAGAGGCAGAGGTAGGCAGATCTCTGAGTTTGAGGGTACCCTGGTCCTCACAAGTTTCAGACTAGCCAAGGTTGCATAGTGAGGCACTATCTCAAACAAACAAGAAGCTAACTCAAGGCTAGAGAAATGGCTGAGTAGTTACACGCATTGTTGCTCTTCCAAAAGACACAGATTAGATTCCCAGAACCCACAAGCTGCCTCACAACCATCTGTACCTCCAGTTCCAGGAGGCCCAGTGCCAGGTACACACATGGTGTATACACATACATGCAGGTAAAGCTTATACACATAAAATAAACAACTACAAAAGATTGCAGCAAATACATAAACGTAATTTTTCTTGCTAGTTTTTGTTTTTCGTGACAAGGTTTCTCTGTGGAACACTGGCTGTCCTGGAACTCACTGACAGAGCCTGCCTCTGCCTCCTTAGTGCTGGGATTAAAGGCGTGCACCTCCGAGGCTGCTGCACCACCACCTGGCTACATTTTTTTAAAAGATGCCAACGGTTTAATCTGCATTTTTCTACTGTATGAGGACAAATAATGATAGAATAATAACTTTATCCTTTTTTTTTTCTTTTTGTTTTTCAAGAAAGGGTTTCTCTGTGTAGCCTTGGCTGTCCTGGACTTGCTTTGTATACCAGGCTGCCCCCAGAATCACAGAGATCTGCCCGCCTCTGCCTCCTGAGTGCTGGGATTATAGGCGTGCACCACCGCCCAGTTTAGAATAACTTTATAACATAAACCAAATACTATTCTTAGACATAAGGCTGCAACATAATTCCAAAGCTGGTATTCCTGTTGGCTAATATGTCAAAACCTACCAGCAACATGGTTGCAAGTTCAGCAGTTTTAAACGGCAATTAAAGTGAAAGGCTAGCCAGGGACAAACAGTACCACTGTTGTCTAGGACCAGGTACCAACTGCCCTCTTGCAAGTAGCACAGAGATGTCATCTGTACACAAACTGGCCCTGGAATGTATTCTCCAGTTAAAAGCTGGGAGATCAAAAAGCAAGCCATTGAGTTCATGTCAGAGACAGCCCCTGCTCCCCTTACTAGGGTACCCACTTGGACACTGAGCTGCCATGGGCTACATCTGAGCTGGGGGTCTAGATTATCTCCATGCATGGTCCTTGGAGTATCAGTCTTTGCCGAGACCCCTGAGCCCGGATTTTTTGGTTCTGTTGGTCTCCTTGTGAAGCTCCTGTCCCATCCAGGTCTTTCTATTTCCCCCTTCTTTCATAAGATCCCCATACTCTGCCCAAAGTTTGGCTATGAGTCTCAGCATCTGCTTTAATACCCTGCTGGCAAGTATCTGTGAGTTTGAGGCCAGCCTGGTCTACAAAGAGAGCCCAGGACAGCCAGGGCTTTAAAAAAAAAACACCACCACAGTAAAAACAGCAGTTGTCCCCAAACCAGGACCCAGCAAGAAAGATGGGGAGATTACTTGAAAACAAAGCTCAGGGACGCCCAACTGTGGAGAGTAGACATCGCGGGGAGTGCGCGCGACACTGACAATTCCCACACCTTCCTCCCTCTGTCTCCTTAGCTCTCCCAGGCTGCTCTCCCTCACAGAGAGGCTCCCTGGAGCCCAGCACCCACTTGTCCCTGCCCTCCACCAACAGTGTCCCCAACCTGAGAGGTGTGCACGGTCGCCTCGGGGCTCGCTGTTCTCGGCTTTCCTAGGCCGGTAGCCATAGACGCCCCTCTCCGTCTGGTAACTGCGCCGGAGAAGCGGGACGGCCCGGCGGAGCGCTCTCCTTGCAGCTGCCACAGTGGCCGAGGCCATGTCCAGTCTGGGCCCTAAGATGCGAAGCAAGATTGGCAGTTCAGGAGCTGCAGCCAAAGCCAGAGCAAGCGTTGCTGTAGAGGCGAGAAAGACCCTGGACGCACCACGTGAGCCCGAGGACACACCCCCAGGACGCCGCCCCCGGACCTCATTGGTCGAGGGGCCGGCCTCTATAAACCACTCAAGGGCTGGAACCTGCTGCTTAGCCACGCCTCTTATACAGCTGGTCAGTGGGCGATCCTCGGGCCAAAGGCCTCCTGGATTTGGACTCTGTGCAAGGTTGGTAGCCGAACAGTTTACTGGTACCAAAGTAGAACTGTAATCCTGAAGTCTCTTGCCGTAAGATTCATCCTCTGCTGGAAACTCGAGGGTACCGACATGTAGTTCTCCTTACAGAAAGGACAAAACAGGGGATGCAAACAGAAAAAAATTGGGGGAAAGAAGAAAACTCAATTTCACCATTTTTTTTAAGTTAGTCTACAAAGCGATGGGTTTCATTACTGCATTTCTGTTTGTTTGTTTGTTTGTTTGTTTGTTTGTTTGTTTGTTTTTCGAGACAGGGTTTCTCTGTGTAGCCTTGGCTGTCCTGGACTCGCCTTGTAGACCAGGCTGGTCTTAAACTCACAGAGAGATCTCCCTGCCTGTACCTCCCTAAGTACTGGGATTACAGGCGTGCTCTTTTTCCTTTTTTTAAAAATAAATTATTTCTTTTTATTTTATTTGCATTGGTGTTTAGCCAGCATGTACATCTGTGTGAGAATGTCAGATCATAGAATTACAGACAGTTGTGAGCTGCCATGTGAGGGCTGGGAGTGGAACCCTGGTCCTCTGGAAGAGCAGTCAGTGCTCTTACCCACTGAGCCATCTTTCCAGACCCTTATTACTGCAGTCATGCTTAGTTCCCTATTCATGCTTTGTTCCCTAGGGTCCTCCTTCCTTCCTCCCCTGCCCTTCCCCTTTGACACCATCGCCTTTCCTATAGTTCCCTTAGGCTGCCTTTCTTCTTTCCTTTTTTTTTTGAGTCAGGGTTTCTCTGGACCTGGCTGTCCTGGAACTCGTTCTGTAGACCAGGCAGGCCTTGAACTCAAAGGTTTGCCTGCCTCTCCACCTCCTGAGTGCTGAGCTCAAAGGCCTGTGCTGCTGCCACCACCCGGCTAGGGTCTTCTTATATTAGTGCTATGATATAAGGAAATTTCTATATCAACCAAAATAATAGAAGAAGCTACAGCAGCTGAACAAGTCCTCCACTGGGCAGATATCAGGCTACAAGTTCTAATTCCATCTTTACTATTAAATGTCCATGTAGTTATTTATACTTTATTTTAAATCAGCATATATTATTTGTGAAGACTGGTGGAATTAATCCTAACATTTTCACACATACATATTTTGTACTCTGATGGAACTCGTCACCCCATTCGCCTTCTCTTACCCTAGCCCCATTACCTCTTCCTTCCCCCTAAATATGTCCTCTTCCATTTCCATGGTTTTTATAATGGTTTATGTCTATGGGTGTTTTGCCTATACGTATGTCCGTGCACCGCATGTGCACCTAGGCGCAAGCAGCACCTATGGAGGCACGAAGAGGGCATGAGCACCTCAGGAACTGGAGTAACAGATGGTTGTGAGCCACCATGTGGGTGCTAGGAATCGAAGCCAGACCCTCTGGAAGAGTAGCGAGTGGTCTTAACTGCTGAGCCATCTCTCCAGCCTTTTCATGTCTTAAAAAATTATATATATAATCTACATATGAAAGAAAAAGCACTTTGTGTATTTCCTTCTGAGCCTGGCCTACTTTCCTTAACTTGATGTGGTGGTTTGAATAGGAATGGTCCCCAGAGGCTCATATATTTGAATGCTTGGTCACTAGCAAGTGACCCTACTTTGACAGGGATTAGAAGATGTGGCCTTGTTGGAGGAAGTGCATCACTGGGGGTGGGCTGTAGGGTTTCAGAAGCTCAAGCCAGGCCCTGTCTCTCTCTCTGCCTGCTGCCTGAATGTAGAACTCTCAGGGACATGTCTGCCTGCGTGCCGCCATGCTTACTACCGTGATGATAATGGACTAAACCTCTGAAACTGTAAGCCAGCACCAATTAAATGCTTTCCTTTATACAAGTTACTGTGGTTAAGGTGTCTCTGCACAGCAGTAAAACTTCAACTAAGACAAATGATGGTTTCTGTTTTCCTGCAAATGACATGATTTTATTCTTTACTGCTGGAAACTCTCTCTCTCTCTCTCTCTCTCTCTCTCTCTCTCAAAATGGGTTTTAAAAACCTCAAAGCTCACACCTGTAACCACCTCCTTTAACAAGGCCACACCTCCTAAACCTTCTAAAACATCCCTCCAACTGGAAATCAAATCTTCAAATATATGAGCTTATGCAAATATATGAAGCCATTCTCATTCAAACTATCACAAACCTCCACATTAATATACTCATTTCCTTAATAGTTACAATAATTTACATTCCCTCTAACAGTGTATAAGGGTCTCTGTCTTTTCCAGCCTTGCCAATGATTAGCATTTTCTTTTTCTTCCTCTTTTTTTTTTTTTTTTTTTTTTTTTGTTCTTAGGTTTTTGAAACACAGTCTTACTCTATAGCTCAAGCAGGCTACCTACCAAATCCTGAGACTACAGGTGTACGTTACCATGCCTGGCTTTTTGTTCCCTGTTTCCTTGATGGCAATGTGTTAGCTTTCCTGACTTAGGTCTAGCTAAAAATTATGAGCATTTTTTATGTGTTTATTAGCTATGTATACTTCTTTTGATATGTTTAATTTATATGCAATTTGTTGTTTGAATAATTTATTGTTTGTGTTTAATTTTTTTAGTTATCTATATATTTTGGACAAAATCCCATGTCTGATGAATAGCTCACATAGATTTTCCTCCCATTCTGTGTGCTGTCTATTCCCACTGGCAACTGTTTCCTTCATTGTTCAGAACCTCACAACCGCATTTGTTAAGCCCTGTCCCTGGGCCTAAGGAAAATTACAAAATAGCCTGTGAATAAGCAGTGGAACCCAGGTGCCTATTTGCTTTAAACCTATTAACTGAAGCTCCTCCCGGGAAAACAATTTGATAGTGCCCTGGGTTGGGTAATGCACGGTGGTAATCCCAGCACTCAGGAGACTGAGGCAGAAGGATGAGGACAACAAAATTGAGGACAACATAGGCTATGTGGCTGGACTTTGTCTCAAAGTAGCAACAAAGACAAAAGTAGAAAACAAAACAGGCAGGCGTGTTCCAGATCATTCAGTGACTGAAAGATGTCTACTTAGAGTTCTTGGACAAATGGTAAGCAGTCCCTTTAAACAGAAATGGTGGGGGAGCAGGGACCCCAGCCTGCGAGCTGCAAGAGATGTTTCAAAGTCTCTGCTCCCCAGCCAGCTCCATTCTGGTGGAGTCTAGAAGAGACAACTATGTCAGGGATGGCCGAGGGCTGCTTCTGCTATGAGGAAACTAAACTTAGGATGCTAAGGCTATACAAGATTGTATGTAGTCACTTCATGAATACATCATACCTACAAAATACATGGAGATGAATAATATGTATATGAAATGTTAAATTAACCATTACTATTGTTTTGCTTATCTGGTACCCCACAATTTAGAGCCTTGAAACAACAAACATAAATTACCTTGGAGTTCTCATGTGTTAGTAAATCAGACAGTTTATTGCAAGATTACTTAAGAGGACATGACAGTTGAATAAAATTTCCATTCATCTGAAGGTTCAACTGGGAGAGGAGCAGTTTCTACATTTATTCACATGGACACTGGCAGGACTGAGTTCTTTTTGGCTGCTGGACAGAAGTTTCCCTCAGTTCCTTGCTGCGTGAGCCCCTTCAAAGTGCACTCAAAAGCACTTTCTTTTCATATATATATATATATATATATATATATATATATATATATATATATACATATATATATATTAATAAGTAAATATATTTAAACACACACACACACACACACACATGCTGGGTGTGGTGTGGTGGTGGACTCCTTTAGTCCCAGCACTTGGGAGACAGAGGCAGACACATCGTTGAATTTGAGGCTAGCCTGGTCTACAGAGTGAGTTCCGGGACTGCTAGGGCTATACAGAGAAACCCTGTCTCAGAAAACCAAATGGAAGTTTTGGGTTCTTTGCATGGTTTATGTAAAAATGCTTTTGTTTTAATCCCAAGTATGGGATTTTAGTTGGGCTACAGTTTGTCCACAACTGTTAATTGTCACATGCTGGGCGTTGTCTTTGTCAGGAGGTAATGGCCCAGAGAGGGGCGTGGTCTAGAACTCTGAGAGTCCTAGAAACAGACTGTGTGGAGTTCAGTGTTGGAGCTTGGTGAGAGCAGTTTGGAGAGAGCAGAGGGCAGAGACGGTATGGCAGTTTGGAGCAGCCAGCTGAAGAGAACTGCTTTGGGGCGCAGGGGTGTGGAGGAGCCTGCTAGCTGCGTCTGCGGTTGACGGAGATTGGTATAGAGCCCTGAGAGAACCCCTTGGCCCTAACTAGCAGGGAGAAGTAAAGGGGTCTGGGCCCCCTCTCCCCTCTAGCCTTTTCTCTCTCCTACATAAGGTTGGGGGAAGTAGAGGCCTAAATACCCCAAGTAAAGCAGAGGTTTAAAAATGGCTGCTACAGGTGGCTTTCTGCTGCAGTGTTTGTCATTATCTTTTAAATTATTTGTATACTTGTATGTATGCATATGTGATGGCAGGTGCCCATGGAGCTCAAAAGAGGGCAAAGGATTCACTCATGCTGGAGTTACAGATGTTTAGAAATGCCAATGGAGTGCTGAAACCCTAACTCAGGTCTTCTGGAAGAGCAGAATGTTCTCTTAACAATTGAGCCATCTCTCCAGCCCCTCCAGCTTTTTGTTTTGAAGACACAATCTGCATATTAGTCCTAACATCTCATGAACTCTGTGGCATTACAGAGACATAACCACACAATCCAGTCTGTATTCAAGATGAGGGGAATGCACAAGGGTGTGAAACGGGGACTGGGCTGTCGAGGGCCATTTCAGAGGCTGCCATGCCTGTGCGCCATTTTTGTAGCGTGTATGAATGGTGGGTGCAGTAT